AGGTTGCAGTGATCTCTTGTGGCGAATGCAAGTGAGTTATTTATTTACAAGCTAGTGAGATTTATTTGTTTATCATAAACAATTAAACATGACGTCCTAAAGTCTAAATAGATTGTGATATGGGGCTATATACTGGTTTCTTTTTCTTTCCCAGAATTTATAGTTTAGGCAAGTCATTTGAAACAGAGATAATCATAATTCATAATTTATTAATGGCTCTAGGAAAATCAATTATTCAAATCGTGACAACCAATGACGAAATCGTAATGAAGCTTTTTACTTTTGGGCCGTAAAAATTAATGGGCCATGTGCGATTACTCACATCATGTTTTTTTATTCCTGTTTCCTTTATTTTTTTTTTCTTTTCAACGTGAAGAATGTTTTTACTTTTGGTCTTGAGCTGATTTGACTGTAAAAACGCACAGTTTTTGAAAGAGGCGAAATTCGAGCAAGTGATCCCGCCGGTGAAGATCGACGACGGCGACGCCATAACTTACGAAAACGCGACGAATGCGCTACGGAGAGCAGTTTCTTTCTTCTCGGCTTTGCCTCCGATGGCCACTGGCCGGCGGAAATCGCAGGAACTCTCTTCTTCCTCCCTCCATTGGTACGTTTCTTCTTCGTCGAATACTCTTAGGGTTCGAATTAGAGAGTCAGGGTTTCTATTGCTCAAAAATTTTAAAGAAATTATAGTAGTAAGGAAGAGGAATCAATGAAACGGAGAAAATTGTCGTGCAGGTTTTTTGTTTGTATATCACAGGACACCTCGAGAAGATATTCGATGCGGAACATCGCAGCGAGATGCTTCGGCATATCTATTGTCACCAGGTACTTTCAGCGATTGGCTCGGATGATATTAAAGTGGACTAGAGATCCTCACCGGAGTTTTGTTTTGTCTCTTAATTTGCAGAACGAAGACGGTGGATGGGGATTACATGTTGAGGGAAACAGCGTTATGTTTTGCACCGCACTGAATTACATATGCTTGCGTATGCTCGGAGAAGGTCCCAACGGAGGGCGAGATAACTCCTGCAAACGGGCCAGGCAATGGATTCTTGACCATGGTGGTGTGACTTATATTCCTTCTTGGGGAAAATTTTGGCTCTCGGTAATATCTTTTGGACCCTATGTTAATATAAACTCAAAGATGTTGAAAGTTTTAGTATTAATACTCGATTTTTCGTTTGTAGATACTCGGAATCTATGATTGGTCTGGAACCAACCCAATGCCTCCCGAGATTTGGTTGCTGCCTTCTTTCATTCCAATACACTTAGGTTTGTTCTTTTCTTATTTTGGAGATTATACTGTATGGATCAACTTGAAACTGCTATATACATATATGTCTGTAGATTTTGTTTTAAAATTTCCCTCTCTTGACGCAAACAAATACAGGAAAAACTTTGTGTTATACTCGAATGGTTTATATGCCCATGTCTTATCTGTATGGGAAACGATTTGTTGGTCCTCTTACACCTCTTATCATGCTATTGCGCAAAGAACTCCACTTACAACCTTATGAGGAAATCAATTGGAACAAAGCGCGCCGTCTATGTGCAAAAGTATAAAAAACCAATTTTATTATGCAAATTTCTCTTTCAGGGGAGAAAATCCACATGCATTACATCGTTTTTAATCTTGCAGGAAGACATGATTTATCCTCATCCTCTGGTTCAAGATTTGTTATGGGACACTCTTCACAATTTTGTGGAGCCTTTCCTTACAAGTTGGCCGTTAAAAAAACTTGTACGGGAAAAGGCTCTTCGAGTGGCAATGGAACACATACATTATGAGGACGAAAATAGCCATTATATTACCATCGGATGTGTTGAGAAGGTAAGACATTGAGGAAACCTTTGAAATATTGTGCATGTACTCTCTTGAGAACGTAAATTTCAAATACATGCCTAAATGTTTATGCAGGTTCTGTGCATGCTTGCTTGCTGGATCGAGAATCCTAATGGAGATCACTTTAAGAAACATCTCGCTAGAATTCCGGACTTCATGTGGGTTGCTGAAGACGGACTGAAAATGCAGGTTCTAATAAATATAAATAAATTGTAGACTTTAGTTGACAAAATTTCTTAAGCATTTCAAATTTTTGTAGAGCTTTGGAAGTCAACTATGGGACACAGGGTTTGCGATTCAAGCTTTACTTGCTTGTGACCTTTCTGACGAAACTGATGATGTACTCAGGAAAGGACACAATTTCATAAAAAATTCTCAGGTTTGATATGCTTTTAATTATAGTCATGTTCCTTGAAATGCTTTATGGAACAATTGCATGTGTATTTCCCCCTAAATTAAAGCACTTTGTAGGTTAGAGAAAACCCTTCAGGTGACTTTAAGAGCATGTATCGCCATATTTCCAAAGGAGCCTGGACTTTGTCTGATCGAGATCATGGATGGCAAGTGTCAGATTGCACAGCTGAAGCTTTGAAGGTAATCAAATTAGTTGTTGAAGAAGTATTAGTTAGAGTTTCCACAAGAGTTATGCCCCAGATTAACCTTTACTTCTGTGTTTTGTAGTGTTGCATGCTGCTCTCCTTGATGCCAGCTGAGGTCGTTGGCCAGAGAATAGATCCTGAACAACTATACGATTCTGTTAATCTCTTGTTATCGTTGCAGGTGAGATAATATCTATAAGACTAATGTTGTCAAAAATTCTGTCTCTAATTAATATTCACGAATACAACTTTATTTGATGTAGGGTGAAAAAGGAGGTTTGACTGCATGGGAGCCTGTCCGTGCACAAGAATGGTTGGAAGTAAGAGCTACCACACATAAGGATACATTTCGTTGTCCTTTTTGCGGATTTGAGAATCGTTAAGAATAAAATCATTCAGGTCTAACCTTTGTAACTGGTGTTGCAGTTACTCAATCCCACAGATTTTTTTACTAGTGTTATGGCTGAACGCGAGTATGTAGAATGTACCTCAGCTGTTATTCAAGCTTTGGTTCTATTCAAACAACTTTATCCGGATCACAGAACGAAAGAGATCATCAAGTCGATTGAGAAAGGGGTGCAATTCATAGAAAGCAAGCAAACGCCTGATGGTTCATGGTATGCCTTTAACATAATTAAGTCATGTTTAATGAAGATGGTTCGGAAAAACTGTAACGTAATAGTTTCTTTTTGAGTAATGATAGGTATGGAAATTGGGGTATCTGTTTTATCTACGCGACATGGTTTGCTCTGAGCGGGCTAGCAGCTGCTGGTAAAACTTACAAAAGTTGTCTGGCGATGCGCAAAGGTGTAGATTTCCTGCTTACGATACAAGAAGAAGATGGAGGTTGGGGCGAAAGCCATCTGTCATGCCCTGAGCAGGTAAATTTTATGGTTCAACACAAAATTCAAGCGTAGAATTTTTCAATCTTAAGTTTTGGAGAAGTTTTAAATCTTCTCAATATGGTTTGTACGCAGAGATACATACCATTAGAAGGGAACAGATCAAACCTAGTGCAAACTGCTTGGGCTATGATGGGTTTGATTCATGCCGGACAGGTTCAAATATTTTCAATCTTACACTTGCATTTATTTAAAGTACAACGAAATTATCTTGAAACCTATTTTTTCCTATGCTGTATCTGTACAACAGGCCGAGAGAGATCCTACACCTCTTCATCGTGCTGCGAAACTTATCATCACTTCGCAACTTGAAAATGGGGACTTTCCGCAACAGGTAATTTTCAAACATCCTCTTTGACAGATATATGAATATCTGGTGAAGCTTACATACGTCGTGAGATTTAGAATTATCTTACCTACTTTTTCGTATCTTTGTATTGCCTACCACTTCATACTTTTTACTAATAAAATCAGGTCTAATATTAATGTCATCGACCTTAACTCCATGACTTTTTAATGATAGTAAATGTAAAATTAATGTGTGTATGTACTGAGTTCAATTATTCTTTGTTAATGTTATGTGTGTTTGCAGGAAATATTAGGAGTATTCATGAATACATGCATGCTACACTATGCTACATACAGAAACACCTTCCCCTTATGGGCACTCGCGGAATATCGAAAAGCTGCCTTCTTAACTCATCAAGATCTATAGCTCTTCCTGAATAATCTTTAAAAGAAAATTGGCTCTTCTTTAATAATCTATACACAATTCTGTAAATATAAAAGAAAGACAAAATAATCCCACAAAAAAAGAAAAAAAAAGAAAGACAAAATAATATTATTAGGAGAGTTGATGTTCATAATCTGAGAGACGAGGGTTGATATTTGCGCCTAGCAAAATGTTAGTAGACGTGATGTTCTTATGCAATATTAGAGACTGTGAACAGTTATGTTAACAAGAAAGGTAATGAAAGAGCGTTTTCGTTTGATTTTAAGGACATACTCGACGGGGATCGAGTGGTTCTCAAGACAATTCTTGGGAATTTTCGGACAAATATTTTTCTCTGTTTAATAAATGTTCTTGGGAATTTTTGGACAAATATTTTTTTCTTTTTGGACAAATATTTTTGGTATTCTATAGTTTTTTCGTATTCTATAGTTTTCTTTCCCAATCCTAAATTACATTTTTATTATTTATAATTCCTAGAAACTAATATTGTTTATTTTTCTTTACGTTTGCATTTTAGATTTTATAATAAGTAGCTTCCTATTTTAATTCATAGCTTTATAAAAGCATTTTATTGTAATTTTGTACATGATTTTAAATTTGTTCTCTTTCTTTGTTTTTCTTATTCATTATTTCTATAGTGTTTACACATAATCTATTCTTTTCGTTTTTGTCATATGATATTCATTCCAAACCAACCTTTGTCCACAGCACAACACTCACAAATAGAGTGTTACAACCATAACAAATGAAAATGCAAAAAAAAAAAAAAAAACACACAAAGATAACAATTAATCTCCTTCATGAGGAACTAAATGTTTATTGCACATAAGTATAAATACAAAATTAGAATTTATTTTTATTTGATTATGTTACAAGGATAACAACAATATGTAAATCAATTTTAGTTAATTATCTTAATGACATGTGACTTCGAATGTACGTCTGGTAATCTGTTTCCTCGTACGTAGAAGCCCATGCTTCCTTCTCAACATAACTATGAGGCATTGCTTTGATCCAAAAAAAAAAAAAAAAAAACTATGAGGCATTGCTTTGGTTTCTCCTTATCTTTTATCTATCTTAGCACAACAATATATTAGTTAATTTTATTTGATTATCCTGATAATGCTTACTAGCTACCAAATTTTGTCCATTCGATTCAGAGCAATTCTTGGATGTGACTAATTCGTACGTCTACCTAATCTCATCATAACCATTGGGAATTGCTTGGCTTTCTCCTATATATATAGTCTCATCTGACGAAGTTAATTGGCACACCCACACTTCTCTGACTTGCAATCGATTACTTATTGATTTTTATTCAGGTGGGTATTCTCAAATGACTTCTTTAATTAGTGGTTATCTATCGAACTGCTATTTCCTTTACGTACAATTTTCACTGTCAGAAATCAACTTGATAGAATATCATAACTATATATAGGGTCACCGTCGTTATGTGGAAGTTGAAGATAGGAAAGGGAAATGGTGAGGAACCGCATTTATTCAGTAGCAATAATTTCGTCGGACGTCAAACATGGGAGTTTGATCACCAAGCCGGCTCACCAGAGGAAAGAGCTTCCGTCGAAGAAGCTCGCCGAAGTTTCTTGATCAACCGTTCTCGTGTTAAAGGTTGCAGTGATCTCTTATGGCGAATGCAAGTGAGTTTTTTTTTTTGGTCATGAAATATCTAATACTAATCTATTTTTTTAAAAATAATTTATAACCAATGTTTTTTTAATTTTTATTTGGTTTGATTGCATGCACAGTTTCTAAGAGAGAAGAAATTCGAACAAGGCATACCGAAACCTACTAAAATAAAGGAGGAAATAACGTATGAAACAACGACAAATGCATTACGAAGAGGCGTTCGTTACTTCTCAGCTTTGCAAGCCTCCGACGGCCATTGGCCTGGAGAAATCACTGGTCCGCTTTTCTTCCTTCCTCCTCTCGTAAGTCTCTTCATCTCTCTATATACCTTTTTTCAAGATACTCTTATATTTCTACGAGAGATAATTAATTCACTTAATTAGGATTAAAGTTAAGGTTTAATTAGGTGCTTTCTCAAGTAATTGCATAAAGAAAAGAAAGAGAAACTATACTATGTTATATATACCAATAGTTTTTGGTATCCAAAACATAGAATTTATTCTGAAAAAATCAAACTAAAAGACTATAAAAAGAGCTAGGATGGAAATTTGAACGATATTTTTTCCTTTTTTTTTTTATAGATATTTTGTTTGTACATTACCGGACATCTGGAGGAAGTATTCGATGCTGAACATCGCAAAGAGATGCTACGGCATATCTATTGTCATCAGGTATACTTTTAGTTGTGAAGGTCTCTAATCTTGAATGTACCTAAGTGATTCTTACATAAGTTTATGTTTTGTCTTTTTGCAGAACGAAGATGGTGGATGGGGATCACATATCGAAAGCAAGAGTGTTATGTTCTGCACCGTGTTGAATTACATATGTTTTCGTATGCTTGGAGAAAATCCTGAACAAGACGCGTGCAAACGAGCTAGACAATGGATTCTTGACCGTGGTGGTGTGATTTTTATTCCTTCTTGGGGGAAATTTTGGCTCTCGGTAAAATCTTTTGAGCCATATATATTTTTTTGTTAACTTAAATGGGAGATGTTGAATGCTTAAGGTGCCATATATAAATCATCATTTGGTTTTCACTATATATCTAGATACTCGGAGTTTATGAATGGTCTGGAACTAATCCGACGCCACCAGAAATCTTGATGCTGCCTTCTTTTCTTCCAATACATCCTGATTCAAGATACTGTATATGTGTTCTATAGTTTTTTTTTCTTTAAATAATGTTTGTCCTGCTCCAAATTAATTAACAACAAATTATATACAGGGAGAACTTTGTGTTATAGCCGGATGGTTAGTATACCTATGTCTTACCTATATGGGAAGAGGTTTGTTGGTCCAATAACACCTCTTATTTTGCTCTTGCGCGGGGAACTTTACTTGGAATCTTATGAAGAAATCAGTTGGAATAAAACTCGACGTCTATATGCAAAAGTATGTATGCTAGCTTGACTATACTTTCAATCTTGAAAATCCTTTTTTTCATGGGAGAAAATTCCACAAACGTTCTGCCATTCTCTTTTGCAGGAAGACATGTATTATCCTCATCCTTTGGTTCAAGATTTGATATCTGACACTCTTCACAACTTTGTGGAGCCTTTTCTTACACGTTGGCCATTGAACAAGCTTGTGAGGGAAAAAGCTCTTCAGCTGACTATGAAACACATACATTATGAAGACGAAAATAGCCATTACATAACCATTGGATGTGTTGAGAAGGCAAAACATATCAGGACCCTACAATCATCAAAAAATAAGTATATGCCAATATTCTCATAATTTCAAATTTTTAATTTTTTTTTCCAATATAGGTACTGTGCATGCTAGCTTGTTGGGTCGAAAATCCTAATGGAGACTACTTCAAGAAGCATCTGGCTAGAATTCCAGATTACATGTGGGTCGCTGAAGATGGAATGAAAATGCAGGTATTAATGGATTGGAACTAATTAACATCTCTATTCTCTAGTATAAGAAACTTTTTAAGAGTTTTAAGTTTACATGTAGAGCTTTGGATGTCAACTGTGGGATACCGGATTTGCTATTCAAGCTTTACTTGCAAGTAATCTCCCTGATGAAACTGATGATGCATTAAGGAGAGGACATAATTACATCAAGACATCTCAGGTTAAATATGTCCTCGTTATTGTAATCTTGTAACTTCAACTGATCATGTTTTTTCCACAAATTAATCAAAGAATTTTGGCAGGTTAGAGAAAACCCTTCAGGTGATTTTAAGAGCATGTACCGCCACATTTCGAAAGGAGCATGGACATTTTCTGATCGAGATCATGGATGGCAAGTTTCAGATTGTACAGCTGAAGCTTTAAAGGTAAACCAAACCAATCAGTAAAGCAAATCAAGTCTAACATTGGAGTTTGAACATGAATTATGTTTTAAGTCGGTCCATATAAATTTCTTTGATTTTTGTAGTGTTGCCTACTTCTTTCCATGATGCCAGCTGATATCGTTGGCCAGATAATAGATGATGAACAATTATATGATTCTGTTAATCTCTTGCTATCTTTACAGGTGAACTTATAGTCACACGATCATTTAATTTTCTTCAAATTATGTGTGAGGTTTTTTGAACTAATTGTGTTACTCTAAACTGCCACTCTTTATGTAGAGCGGAAATGGAGGTGTCAATGCGTGGGAGCCTACCCGTGCATATGAATGGATGGAAGTAAGAAATAATATGTGTCTTACAATTTTTTTTGCATACTCAAAAGTTTTAAGAAAGAAATCTACCTGATAGGAGTTATATAAAAACTGATTAAACTCACAAAACTCTTAATTAGTTCTCACCACAAAAACTAGCTCTTAAGAGTAAATGACGCCCCTAAATCTTATAAATCATTAGAATTTGTTTTTTTTATCCGATGTAGAATTTGTTTTTGTATCAACATCCACATACTTGATTCAAAATCACGCAAGTTTTTAACCTTTTTCTAATTGGTGTTTCAGCTGCTCAATCCTACAGAATTCATGGCTAATACCATGGTCGAGCGGAAGTTTGTGGAATGCACCTCATCTGTTATACAAGCACTTGATCTATTTAGAAAGTTGTATCCAGATCACAGGACAAAAGAGATCAACAAGTCCATCAAAAAAGCTGTGCAATTTATACAAGGCAAACAAACAGCAGACGGTTCATGGTACAACACCACATCATAACTCATATATTATGATTTCTTCTGCTGTTTTTTTGTGTTGGCTTACAAAACAATGATCAGAACACTAAAAATGTAATTGAAAATATACACTCTTCTAACATGTAAAGTTAAAAATAAACGCAAATGTAAACAAAAAAGTGATGTAACGTTAATAAAAATTCTAACAATTTACGGTATTTGGAGAAATTTATAGGTACGGAAATTGGGGTGTTTGCTTCATTTACGCTACTTGGTTTGCTCTTGGAGGTCTAGCAGCAGCTGGTGAAACTTACAACGATTGTTTAGCTATGCGCAAAGGTGTCCACTTTTTGCTCACTACACAAAGAGATGATGGAGGTTGGGGTGAAAGCTATTTATCATGCTCCGAACAGGTATGTCGAGATGAATTAATGCAAAATCTTTATCCAATTATTTCACCTAATTTATCATAAAAACTAAACGTTAAAACATTTTTAACATGATTTGTATGCAGAGATACATACCATTAGAAGGAGAAAGATCAAACATTGTGCAAACATCATGGGCTATGATGGCTCTAATTCATACGGGACAGGTTCAAACATTTTAATTATATATATATATTTTCATTTTATTTCTTTCAATACACGAATTGGTATGATGGTATCGATCGAAACCGATACTCTCTTATGCTATTGTGTATATATTCACACAGGCTGAGAGAGATTTGATTCCTCTTCATCGTGCTGCCAAACTAATCATCAATTCACAACTTGAAAACGGGGATTTTCCTCAACAGGTAACCTTTTTTTTTTTTTAAGATATGATCTAGAACATATAAAAGTTCGATGTGTGATCAAGATCTGAACTTGCTTAGTTACATTTTGTGTGTAATATACAGGAAATAGTAGGAGCGTTCATGAATACATGCATGCTACACTATGCTACATACCGAAACACCTTCCCCTTATGGGCACTCGCGGAATACCGAAAAGTAATTTTAATTAATTAATCATCATTTACTTATTTATGTAATTTTACTTTTTAAAAAATCAGATGGATGTTTATCCAGCGAAGGAATACACCAAAAATGAAAAGATGAACACAAAAATATTTAAATAATTGTCACTACTTTTCTCCATAACTACTCTAGTAATCATATTCGTCGTGGGCTCGATAAGACGATGAAAGATCATCTTTAAGCTTCATACTTGACCGTTGAACCATCCGTACAAGCGCCTCCACAACTTCCGACATCGGTGGTCGGAACTCTGGTTCCACCTGTACACATAATGCGATAATGTCGGCGAATCTTGACAATGATTTTGGTGGGTAAAGTCCGTGCAAAGCTGGATCCGCTATATTCGACAATGCATCAATGTCGTGAAGTTGTGGTGTCGCCCACCGTACCAACGATCTCTCCGGCCTTGGCTTCTCTCTGTTTATATTACAAGCGAACAGAAAAACCAATTTTTCTTAAGGGAAAAAAAAAGTACATTTTCAGTATTCAACACGGAATCGATAGCTCAACCTAATTGTTAACCTATTCTAGTCTACGATAAGAAAAATCTATGAACCGAAATATCCAGGATTTGTTTAGTTACCAAAATTTAGAGATTGAGAACCTTACCTTAACCTATAGTAATTACAAGTAAACAAAGTAGTAATTAACCTAGCCTACTATAAATATAGCAAAGATTTGTTATGTTAAATCTCACATAGTCTAAAAATGAGATTCTGTTTAAGATGAATGATCATCAAATGGAACTAACCCGTCAAATGGAACTCGACCGGTGAGAAGCTCTAACATGACGACGCCAAAGCTGTAGACGTCACTCTTTGGTGTATAAGCAGAAGGGTTCTTGGCTTCTGGTGCATTGTATCCTTCCCCTAGGTTTTGACTCGTTCTCTGTCACACCGTGTAGAAACATTAATTCTCATAAACTCAATCTAAATTTCTACAAAATGAAAAAATAATGCCCACAAGATAGAATTTTGAGAGGCCGTAATCTGAGAGACGAGGGTTGAGATCCGCGTCTAGCAAAATGTTAGAAGATTTGATGTTCTTATGCATCACAGACGGCGAACATGCCTCATGCAGGTACCTACACAAATTCAACAATTATTATACAAAAGAAAAATTAGTTAATAAAAGAGCGTTTGCGTTTTGATATTTTTCGATTCAAGAACATACTCGACTGCTCGAGCGGTTCCCAAGGCGATTCTGACTCTTGTGTTCCAAGTTAAGGGTTTACTGAAGCAATCTGACAAATGAAGGAACTCATGGAGTGAGCCATTCCTGAAGTATTCGTAGACTAACATGTTGTGACCTTGCTCTGAGCAATAGCCTACGAGCTCTGCTATATTTTGATGCCTAATCTTCGAGACGCTCATTACAATCGGCGTTATTCCTTCTGATTTACCCGAATCAAACAGCGTCGAATCGATCTTCTTAACCGCTAATGTCTGAATCATAGAAATAATATTTATCAGATAGATAGTGTGGTTTATAGTTATTGGTTTGTTACTAGTGAAACACTTTAGATAAGGGGATTACGCGGCCATCGGAATACTTGGCTCTGTAAACACGTCCGATTGAGCCTTCACCGAGTAGATTTCCAGGTGAGAAATTGGCTGTCGCGCTTTGCAAATCAGAGAGCTCGAATTCCACAGTGGAACGAGTCGAAGTGGTTCGTTTCGCGTTGAGCTTGTTTGCGAATTCGGTATCGGTGAAAGACATCACACGCGACGAAACAGAATGTTTTAGTCCCTTTGATCCTATTCTATGGATATTTTCATCATCCGAATCTCCAGATTTCCCATCTACCATACAAGCTCATGATTATCAGTTACTTGCAAAACAAGATATTTTGAAATGTGCGTATACCTTTGTAATCGTTGCCGAAATCGACACGAAGCTCTTGCGCTGATCCATGCGAGGTAATAGATTTGAACTTTGGAGTGTGATGACTGTTGTCTTCGTCGATGAAATGAGGTGAGAGAGATGATTTTTTCTTGGACACGAGCGCAATTAAAACAGCGATCAACACAAGAACTCCTAAACATGCTCCAGCGATCATCATTCCGTTCCCGGCGGTTACACCTCCTCCATCTTTAGAACCCGAAGATTTTCGGCCATATTTAACACCCGGTGGTGGTGGTGGTGCAGTTTCAGTTGACCAGTCGTTACCTCCAGTCCTTAATAAAAGGAAAAAGAGAGAGAAAACAGGGGAAATCATTTAATATCCTCTGTTTTTCTTTCATGTTGAAACTGTTACTTGTATAGAAAGCAAACCGTGTCACTTACAGTAAACTGTCTATGTCCTTAAGCTCATTAGGGATCCATCCTTCAAACTGGTTGTCTTCAACGTTCCTGCAATCACATAATAAGAAAAGGAATGTTTTTGAGTTTTCTGAATTGTGCCGTTGCAACCTAATTAGAGGTTTTTGTTGCTTACAAGTCATCAATGGCAAGGTTCCTCAGAACGTTTATGTCGCCTGTGAATCGATTTTCCTGCAAGTGTCTTGCACAATAACAAGACAAGATCCAATTTAGAATTCGAAAAAAAACTTAAATAACGATTTGTTTCTTATTCCTTACAGTTTTTTGAGGCTTGTGAGATTAGCAAAACTCTGAGGTAATTTCCCAGAGAGTTGATTCAACGATAAGTCCCTGCATACATAAATTTGGGTGTGTAATTTAATGATTTTTTTAAAAAAGTTCCTGTTAAAATAACATAACTGGAATTGTACCTACAGAGTTACGAGTTTTGACAGTTTCTGAAACATATCTGGTAGTTCTCCATTGAGCTTGTTTTGTCCAAGATTACTGCATTTCATATATATAAATTAAGTGATCATAAACCCTAATTAACACCAAAGACATGCTTCATTAATTTCTTTGGTTTCACTCACATGCTTTGGAGACTTTTCATTTGAGATAACGAGTAGGGCACGTTTCCATCGAGTTCGTTTTCAGAAAAGTCTCTGTATCAATTAGCAGATTACCATTTATTTCTTGCATAATAAGTAATCAAAAAAACAAATGTAGGAACTTACAGATTGACAATGTTGGGTGGGAGTTGATAAGGTATGTTTCCTTTGAGATTGTTTTTGCTGAGATCACTGTACTATCACCAGATTCAAAAACCAAAACTGTTATTCTCTGATTACAAGTTTAACTAATTTAAACGAGACTACTAAATGAGGATTCTCACAAAGTTGTGAGAGATTTGAGGTTGCTTAGTAGATAACCGAGAGATCCACTTAGCTCAAAGCCGGATAACTGTCTGTCGGAACGAAAAGAAGAAGAAACCAGATAACTTGTAACACAAGTAAGTTTTTGAAACTAGGGTTCGTAGTTAAATTAGGGTAATGATTATATACAATTCGGTGACCGAAGAGCCTTTGCATTTGACGCCTTCCCAAGAACCGTCGCAGGGATCACCTCCGTTAGGTTTCCAGCCTTTGAGTTTGGACGGCGAATTTAAGCTCGTGAACATTACGTTCAACCCGGAGACTGCCAAAACTTTTCTGATTAATTTCACAATCGGTTTGTTTGATCAATTAATCACATTTCAAAACTGCTCCTTTAATTGAAATTCAAGCCGTAAATGTATTTACCTTCTTGGTTATCGGTTTTTGCTTGAACTAAAGTGACAATAATAGCCAGAGAGACGATCAAGAGGCTTACGAGCTTCTGCGTCATCTTGATTTGCAAGAAAGATAGAAAAAGGGATTTAGGGTTTTCAGGGTTAGGGTTATGCTTTCTGGTTTGCTTCACGGACAAGACGACGAGGGTTTGAGAGAATGTGATTGAATTTAGGGATAGAGATATTTTTGAGGTTTGGTTCAGGGACAATAAATGACCACTCACGACCATTAATTGTTTACTAATTTTTGATTTACGAAAGATGCGCAATGACGGTGAAAATGCGTGTGTGTTTAAAATTTTCAATCAATCAATTATTAAGAATTTTTTTTGTAAATTTGTGGAAGTATTTAACTTGGGCTTATCTCAGTGATAGGCTTATGTGTACTCCATATAGCCCACACAAATCCACTTGCACGCTTAATGTGAGCCTCCTAAAAATTCTTAAAAACTCGAAGACATTTTTTTTTTTTTTCTGAATTGAAGACATTGGAATATACCATAATGTTTTTTCTTCAAGTTAATACACACCTCCTTCAAATATAAAGTTTATTATTGAATCGAAATACTATTTTTATAAACTTTCATTGCAGTAGAAATTTGGACATTTTTTATTTTATACTTCTTGATAATAAGAAGATAGTTTGTGAAAAATTTGAAACAATTTTTTTAACAGTAAAAGAGTTTCAAAAACGAAAACATTCTATTAATCGAATCATGCCATAAGATATCTTTAGTATGTTAACTTTGCTAAGAATTATCGGTTTATTACATTAATTTTATTAATAAAAGAATTACTTAAGTTTTAGTTAATAAATAATACTCCACATAAATTGTTTCCGATAATAAATTTTAGAAAAGATATTTTGTTGGTTGACCAAAAAAAGGTTTTGTCAAAAAAAAAAGACAAAAAAGGACATTTAGTTGTTAAGAATGACTTTGACTCTATTCGAAAACCAAATATTTCTAATCTTCCCCAACGACATTAAAAATTTTAGTCACTTTACTTTACTACGCAAATTCTTCCACGTTGACAAATGACAAGTATCCTTAAAACTCCCATTGAAGTTTTAAGCCTACAGTATCTATATTATAATATTTTCGTGGACGTCTCGACATCTTATATTTGTGTTTAAAAATACAGTTTTGTTTTTATATGCCAATTAATATAAGTTTATGTTTAAAAAAAATCACAGATTTTGATAAAAACGAAAATTTTGATAATGTTTGTGTGTGTTTATTTAGTTTCTGGTCGTATATTTTGTTTATAATGTATATGTTTAAAATTACAAATACTTGAAAAAAAAAAAGTACAAATATTATATAATCTGCTCTTTTCATGAACGTTGGGAAACAAATTGTTTATACAGTTGTGACAAAAGCAGTGACCACGTCACCGTTTTTACCACTAGTATATAGAAAGAAGGAAATACTTATCTTAGTTTTTTTGTTTGACGGCACTTATTTTAGTTAAAACATTAAATTTATATTAGTAGAGGTGGGTCTAGGTTTAGTAGTTAAATCTGCTTAATATAATTTTTGGGTAATATACAACAACTAGGAAGATGAACAACCACTTTGTGGATAATTAAAACTATAAATAGCTATCAGTGTTATCAATTACAGTCAGAGTAGTCTTGACTAAACCTTAAAGGGTACAACCACACGAGAACCAAGCTCTAGTTAGCTAGTAACATCTATAGTCAATACTATATATCAACTTACATCACAAAGACACAAACAACTTTTTTAAGTAATCAATAATTAAAAAAAAAAAAAAGTAATCAATTATTAATTCATATATCATAATGTTTACATATATGATTTCTCTCGTAAATATACATAAATATTGGATATGAACAGAATGTATTTAACAATAACAACATGCTTTTTTCTTAAATTGGAATTATTTTGTGATAATACGTAAATTGCAAGTAGCAAATAGAAGAATCTACAATAAACACTTGACGGATAAGTGACGAGTATTTTTTAATAAACTTGTGAAAGAGAGTTTTGATGGTCAATATAATGGAACATTTAAAATGCTGGTCAATTTAATGGAGGTTGGTTTTATCAGCGTTGGCGGCTAGACGAATTTTGGTAGTGCACGCGATCAAACTAATGACACCAAATGCGTGTAGTCGAGGTATCATGATAGTACTATACATGTGTCAGAATGTGATTTTCATATATTGAAGGAGAGGAGGCAAACTTAATTAATCTGATGACTGACAAGAACATACCTAGCTAGCATTGTATTTTGTATTAGTATTGTTGTTGTGTCATCATCCATATTAAATCTAGTTTGCTTGTATCTATATGTTGTTGGCAAATTAAAAGAAACAAGAAGTCGAATAATTAATAATGTATTAGATTAAGCAACGTTAATTATAAAGTAATCGAACATCATAGAGCTATGATTTGATTATATCTTGACAGATGGTACATATTTTTCGGTTGCATCAACTTGTAATGAATTCAACAATTCAAATACGAAGACGGAACGTAGCCACTCAGATCCACTATGGTCCGCTGGCTCGTACTCAGCTTGAACCACCATTTTTTTTTGTAAAACCGGGCCTTGTGGCCTAGTGGTAAAGGGGTCACAGCTGTGACTTCCGCCACCAGGGTTCGAGGCACGGTCACTGGCAGATTTACATAGGGGAATTGCCAGCCTCGTGGGATTAGTCTTTGGGCCTAGGAAGCCTTTGGGAGACCCGCGGTTATTCAAAAAAAAAAAAAAAAATACGAAGACGGAAGACCCAATGCAAACATAATATCACATAAAATGAAAAAAAAAAAAAAAAAAAACCAATTAACCGGAGAAATTAAACACACGAATTATACGCATTAAGTAAGAATTAGGGTTTTTTCAAATCTTGAGATAATCATTGTCAATAGGTTTAAGCACATGAGAAGCCTCTTCCTCAATGAACTTCAACTGTCCTTTCGTAAGGAGCAAGTAAACCATCCAATCTCCATCTTCCACTGCGCTCGGCATTGGCATAACGTATCCGGCGCTGCCTCCCCATGGGAAATGGTAAGTTCCGAAAACTGGTGAGCCCCACCCGAAATCCACTTGGGTCACCGGAAAACTTCTCCCAGAAGAAACCACAAACGCGGGTCCATTGTCGGATCCGTCGCCGTAGATTCTTGAAACCGCGGGTGTTGGACGGCGAGTCTCAACCCAATCGATCAAATTCAAGAAATGTTCTTTGGTTACTGATCTCTCCAAGAATCTGTGAACCTCTTCAGTCACCCAAGACAGTGGTTTGCTGATCAAGTCATCGATTCTCTGCCCACCAAATGGGATTGAGAGAACGTTTCCGAAGTAAGTCTTGTTTTCTTGCTCCATAAGTCTCCTCCTTCCGTCCACGACGATCCCGAGTTTCGAGGTCTTGCTTGGGACTGGATCTTTTGCAGCGTGTTCTGCCACGAGCTTCCACAGAAACGCGCTAAACGATTCGAGTTTCGTCCTTTTACTGTTCTTTGAGCTGCTGGCTAGAGTTTGGAGTTCTTCTAATGCATCCGCTTTGATGTAATAGATGCGGCTCGCAAGGAGATTTTCTGGATTGGTGGTTTCTTGTGGAGGGGGCAAGGACGTGACAGGCATAAAAATCTGGTCTATAGATGAATCCACGATCAATGGTCGTCGTGGGTTTAGCAAAGATCTTCGGAAAGATGGTACACAAGAGATTGGTCCATCGGATCGTGCGATCTCGGCCCAAGATAAGAGGAACATGTTCATGGAATACGCGTCCGCTACACGATGATCAAATGTGCAGCCAACAACTATGCTCCCACATTTCAGTTGAGTCACCTGTCCACAAAATTAAACAAAAACCGAGTTATATATACATGTTGTTGTAGTGAACTATTGTTGTCTTCAGCTGAAACTGTTACCTGTATCGCTATGACTCCATGTTTCTTGATGGGGACTAGCTTGGCAATACTTTCATCAGGATCATACAGGTTAAGCTCTCGGAGCTCCACGTCAGCACCGGCTTCCACGAAATCTACGCCACGATTGTTGCAGAGAATCTCCGGTTCTCCGGTAGGATTGGTGACGACCTCACCGGCAAAGGCGTAGTAGGAGACGAGAGTCTCTGCCAAAGCCGTCTTGAGGGTTTCATGAGCCACTGTGTTGGTAATGTTAAGTGGTTTCTTGTAGCAGAAGCAAACGTTAACGTCGAGAGGAGGAAGGAGGAGGTCGAGGTTCGAGAGAGGGAGCCAGTGGTCCTGGAGAGGAAGAGCCGCCGTGATGACTTGCTTCCTAGTGGTGGTCATGTGGAAGCCACGTGCTTGCTCCGCCGCTTCTCCCATTTGGTTGTTGTTTTCGGAGGAGAATGAAGAATGTTTGTGTGGTGTGGGTTGTTGGAAGATGCTGTCAAGAAGAGAATTTATAACAGAGTTTAGGAGTAATTTAGGTGAAACTTTCAAACATTTCACTGATTTATTAATTTGAAAGAAAAACAAAAACTAATATTTATAAAAAAACGCTTGCTGTTTAGATTAAAAAGGTTAACTATTCACATTGTAATTAACTTGATGTGTTAGCGATCTATTGATTGATTTATCTTCTATTCATTTGTACTTAAATTTATAGTAAAAAATAAAAAATAAATCAATGATATTATCGAAAGCCATCGACAATTTAGTATCAATCATTCATTAGTTTTGACTTTTTTAAGAGCTGTTTTTCAACCAATCAATAGTTTCTCTTCTCAATATATTGTCAACCAAAAAAATTCAGTGTTTTTTCTAGTATTTTTACAATAACCAAAAAAAGAAAAACATATTTAATATAAATGACCAATATCTTATGTAAAATAATTAGAAGGACTCTGTTTAGAAAGGTATAACTAAAATGACTTACATGTTTTGTAAAACAACCCGATTTTTATTTTATATTAACGAAATTTCCATTTTATTTTAACTTTACAAAAATTAATCACAAATATTAATTAATCAAAAGCATATCAAAACTTTTGGATTTCCCCTCACTTTTCTTTTCTCTCTTCTTCTCTGTAGAGCAAAACCCTAAAAAGAGAAAGAAAAAAAATCTTGATTTGCTTTCTCCAGTGAGCGTGTCTTCGAATTGGATCTCTAATTTTTTTTTTTTTTTTTTTTTTTTGTAATAACTCTTTAGAGTAAGTTCTATGATATAAATTTATTGTAGGTTAGTAAATCTCTTCTCTTTTTTTGGAAAAATTGACTAGTAAACTCATTTACTATAGAAGTTAAAGAAGTCAAATTTCTCTTTACTAGTAAGTCCCAATTATATGATTTTCTATGTGAATTAAGGTTGGACGACGCGTGATAGTCTTTTTTTCTTTTCCGTGCATCGACCACACTAAATACTTTTCATCTATTAAAAACAAAATTGTTTGTTTCTCACACACTGTCACTTTTCAATTCACGCATACTTAGAACTTCTATGAAATATATTTTATTATTATGATCTAATATAATTCACTTATTCAACTATATATTTTATATCTCAATAATTTAAATTCGTTGATCCACCACTATGTATATAATATATTGGATTGAATTATCCTAATCTAAATGCTATATATATTTCCACGTTCCAACTGACTGCTTCTATGGTGGTTGCATTGTGTCTATCATAATTCTATATATTCTAATTTTAATTAAGTCGTCTATACCATAAAGTTGTGTGTATCAATGTATGTCAACAAAGGATAATATTATGTGTTAGTGAATAGTTAACTTGGTCTAGTCTAGACGATGACCCTTTTTCTAATAATGGGCAAACGATGACCATTTCTTTGTAAATAAATATACGAATAAAAGGAAATATTATGATACATTAAACAACAACATATTTATTAACTACGCATTGTACGTTAATAATTATGATCATTAGATCATATAAACACCTCGAATTGTTTGGTGGCAAGTGGCAACTGGCAAGTTGTCAACAGAGATTCACAGGAAACTAGACGTGTAGATATTTTCTGAAAATGCTAATTAATTAACATAAGAATAACACGAAAAAAGGGGAAAGGAGCCTAATGTCATGTGACGTTAATTCGGACGTGATCTCGACGTATTGTGGTTAATTAGTTAATGCCTTGAATAATATAAATCAAGGCATTAACGTGACGTGATCACCGGAAAATCACTCTATTGGTCCGAAAAAAAAAACTAAATTAGTACTCTTAAATTGGTACTGTTTCCTAACACGTCATTTAGAATCTGATAGATTAATAGATAGAAGACCAAGAAATTGTAACAAATGATCATGGTCGTGGATGACATGTCTATGAATTTATCTGTTTTTAGATACGCAGCATTCATATCAAAGTGAGTCCATAATAAAACTATATCATCATTAATGGAGTGAAACATCCAAATTCTAAAATAAAAAAGACTAGCTCTTTATTGATTCATAGTAGTGTTTTTGTAACGAAACCAAAAAACATCATATATTGTTTTCCCATTTTTTGATCAGTTGGTCAAATTGGTTGAACCGTAGATTATTTAATAAAAAACTTGGCCAAATAACATTTATTTTAAACTTAAGTTGCAAAGTAGCATTTATTTTAATTAAACTTAAGTTACAAACCACTAGCATTTATCTTAGTCTTAGAAAACCAACAATTTTTCTTCGGAAAAAATTATTAGTTTACTTATTATCGGTAAATGTATACGAGTACAAAACTGTCGTGTACAGTAAGAATGCGATCTTCTAATTAAGACATAAAAGTGCTAGTATTGGTCCCATGTTCTTAAAATCTCCGTCTAACTCGATTATTTCCCGCTTAATCACTATGCCTACCATATCCGCCTCGATTAATGACTAATCTCCTAAAAAAATCAGTTACCCGATTACTCTCCGCCTAATCCGATTACTTGCCGCCTAATCCGATTACTCCCCGCCTAATCTTACATATTCCAATTATTTTCAGATTCCAAGTATATAAAAAAAACTTTTTATTTTTGTTATTCAATCATTTGAATTGAGATTTGTGATGTTTTACAATAACTTATGTTCAAATTTTAATAAAAATCATAAATTTTTAATAAAAATCATAAAAATTTATCTCAAAAATATATTTTTATATATTTACTGCAATTTTGAAAACAATATTAGATTAATATATTTTGAAAATATTAAAATAATCCTAAAATTAATCCCCGATTAATATCCGATTTTAATCCGATTAATCGTTAAGCCCATATCGAACGTCCGACTAGCGCCGAACGATTTTTCAAACAAGACGTATTAGTTCGTGCAGAAAAAGAATCATTAATAAAGTCGATAATTATAAATTAATATGTTGAGAAAAGAAATGAAAAAGATATATTCAAGGGGCTTTTGCAAAAATGCCACTTTTCAAAAATACCCCTTTTTTAAAACCTTATAAAAAATGCTCTTAAAAATATAAGATTTACCCAAATATGTATGTAATATTATTAAAATATACACAAACTACATTTCTATGTATCTAAAATCTTATAAATACTTTATAAATACCTTATAAATGCATTTTAAATATCTTTATAAACCTTTAAAATATCTTGTAAAACATTTGAAAACCCTTAAAAATCCTTTAAAATAACTTGTAAAACCTTTAAAAACACCTTGTAAAACCTTATAAATACTTGGATCGAGTCTTCAAGTAGTAGTTACAATCCATAAGTATCTTATAAACCTAATAAAACTTTATAAAAATTTCAGATTTAAAAAGAGGCATTTTTGAAAATAGACATTTAAAAGATGCATTTTTAAAAAGAGGCACACCAAAAAGGATATTTTTAACAATTTCCCTATATTCAAACGGGAAGAAAAAACACGCTGGTCTTGGTCTACGATAGTATGTTAGTTAGCTCATTAGTTTAACGTTGGGCCAAAATACCACCTATTGGGCCTTGATTTATCAATTAGATAATTAAAAAAAAAACTTATAAAGCCCAACGTGTTTTGCCGCGTCACGAAGAAACAAGACACAGTCACTTGGATTCGATCGATATGCCAACCAAATCTCTGAAACCTGTGTATCGTTTATTCTGAGACTATATATCATCGTGTTTGAATCTTCTTTATAAAAAAAAAAAAAAATCATTCTGAATCAGTTATTTTTGTTTCTCCTCTGTTTCTTCAGGGACCATAGTCACCATCTCCGATCAAATTGCAAATATCGGAACATTCCACTAAGCTACAATTACAAACAAAGAATCAGCTTCAAGAATAAGAAAGCAACAACCTTTTAATCTATTATTATGTTACCAGTAATTACGGCTACGAAATCCTTGCTTGAATACCACTAATGGCCTATAAATTACAAGAGAGAAAACATCAGTGATGAAGAATGAGAGAGAGAGAGAGAGAGAGAGAGAGAGAGAGAGAGAGAGAGAGAGAGAGAGAGAGAGGGAGAGAGATACCTTCTGATATTGATCGGTCCTTCTCCGTCTCCGCTGCGAATGCAAGTGTTGACGCATTTGACTGTACATTTCTCTGCGTTTTTGGATTTTGGTCGTTGAATCCTCTGTTTCTTACAGTCTTCGCCTGACAGCGTTTGCGGTATGTTCGATAACGTTTCTCCGTCTTGCGGCGGCGGCGGAGGAAGCTCTGCAGAAGCTACAGACACAGCAGCCATCATAACCGCCGCCGCCGCTATGGTCCCGATCGTCGCCGTGGATATACGAACCGCCGCTGATCTAGTAGCCAAGCGGCTCTGACACTGATAAGATCGACCACCTCTCTTGTATAACAAATTCGTGCGATAGAGAGAAGAAGAAGACGGACAATGTATTATCATATTACTTTTTTTACTGGTTTTCTCATTAAGATTCTTCTCTCTGTCTTGTTTCATCAAGAAAATGCAAGACTCTTATCTTGTTTGGTCACGTGTCAGTTTCTGGTGGCTTGGAATTTAGATACTTCTCTAACTCCACGAATCTCCTGCTTACGTGGCATTAAGATTCGTCTCCTCCTCTCGAAACCTTTCCTCAATTATCACAGTAACTCCAATCAAAAACATGCGCCTTTAAAAAATCTAATCGAAGAACTAAATTATTTATGATTGAAAGTGTGAATACAATTTTCAAAATAAAAGAGAGTGGAAGAGAATCTAAAGACGACTAGTCTCTCTCTATCTTACTATGCTTACAAAAGAAAACCACGTTAACGTATTTTACACTTGCCACTCCCAAATCAGAAGTGGCAATTTTACAAAAATACAATAAATTACCAAAAAAAAGTGAGAGCAAGTGTGTGCGTGTGTATGTATAGAAATCAGAAGGTCACCCATAATCAAACCTGAATCTCTGATCTGCGAAGAAGTCTGGCTTTGCTCTTTTTCTTCTTCTTCTTCAAACTGATAAATCTTCTTTGGTTTTAAGCTCGCGTGTTATTCCCTGACCCGTGACTGTTAATTACGAACCTACGCTAGTTTCACAATCAGTCTCTCTCTAACTGGCTCTTCTTCTCCTCCTTCCACCAAAATGCGTATGAAGATTTTTGGCTCTACATCTTTGTTGTTTGTTACCTTCGGCACAAGGATGAAGGTTTTTGCAACTTGAATTGATTTTTCTAAATGTACAACTTTCTATTAACCTGAGCCCCCAGCGACTTCTGCAGCTCTTTGTCTCATCATTTCCATTACAGCTGCTCTTCGCCGTGAATCTGATTGCTGCTGTAATCTTCTCAGATGTTCCTTCAGGTCCCTGAACAGAGTGAGAGAGATGTTCATTAATGATCATCATCACGAAATCACATGGACCAATAACTGTTTGATGTAATTTCATGAGGTATGTTTACCTGCAACGAGGTACATGGCACTCGGATTCCTTGCAGGCCCGAGCATGGAGTTGCAGGAGATACCACATTTTCTTGCATAGAACACACCCTCCCGAAGCGCGTACTTTGCACTGTATACCATGTCGGAACAGCCCCTTCACTTTCCGGCAATTAGGATATTGACAATGTGGCGAACGACATTGTGATGCATGTACCAGAAGATCAAGCATTTTCCTAAGCTGCAAATCCAAAAGAAGAAAAAAAAAAAAAAGTTATTATTTTCATAGAAATTTCAGGACCAAGAGAGAAGCACCAACAGCTTTAGAAAGGAACATTGTAATAATATTATACCTGCAAGACTCGCAACTGCCTTGCTTCTTTGTTTTGAGCATTTTGATCAGCTAAAGATGGATGATTAGTCAACTTGTGAGGATGATTAACTCCACCATCTCTACTGTAACAGGAATTGCACACATCGTAGTCTGGACATACTTCACAGCGCCAGCCTTGACCAGTTTCAATGTCAAGATGACACGCATTGCAGGTTGTGACAAAGGCAGGAGCGGTTGGGTTATGTAGATGATAAAGGACCATCATGGACGAATGTTTTGCCCGCCTCAACGTGTCATACTGATAATGGTTCCCTTGACAAAGACTCAGAAATGCTTGCCTAGTGTCGAAAAACTCGCTTTCGAGTATTTCATCTTTATCTCTCGTATCTGCAGGAATATCCATAATCTCAACCTGCGATATCAATACCACCAACATTCACAAAACTGACAATAGACAAAGCTAAAGGACACTATCCTCAACAAGAAAATGTAACTCACGGGATACAACGCATGTTTATCCTTAAAATTAACAGGATGCCTTTCCCTGTCTTCACGTCTCTGCTCAGCCTCGTAACACCTAAAAAGAAGGATTAACATTTTAGATTCCAAGAGGAACTTAATCAGTAACAAGGAGACATAGCCCATCCAACAGATGTATCTGTCGAGATTTCTACATAATCTTATGTGCAATACAACAAAGAAGGGATTATATAATCAAAGAGCAAGAAGACAAAGAAAGAATTCTTACTTGTCACATATCTGGAAGTGTTTGCACTGGCTGCAGACCCAACGATTACCAGATACCATCAGTATGCAGCAATGAGTGCAAGAAGGCTGCAAGTGGACCATGATAAAGTCCTCCTTCATCGGGTGAATGGTCTCACCGAGCTAGGAATAGGTAAAACAGGTGAATATGGTTAACAAGAAAAACAAAACAAAACAAATGAGAAAAAAATATATACAACAAGGAGGCAATATGCATAACGAAAATATTACTTTATGCATTAGCAGCAGATCCTTGGACGCATTCCCAGATAGATCAGTCTGACCAGAAGCTTTTAAAGCCCTTTTGGTAATGGTTTTCTTGAGCATTCCTTTCTTATTTCCCTTTCTTCCATCTTCTTCTTGACTCATTTGGTATATAAGATCCTCCGCTGCACCTGGCCAGTAGTCACCATCAAAATACGGGAGCCTAGCTGCTGTAACCTTAGCTCTACATTCACCAGTTTGCATAAAAAAATGGTCATATAGATTTATAGTTTCTGCAACAATGCCCTCCTTTGAAGCTTTTCTCAACATTGCTAAGTACCTACGAATAAACAACATGGGCAGTTGGATGATGTAAATGACTTTTTCATATGAAAATTTACGAAGTTCATCCCAAAAAGGTAAATGAACTGACCACTCTCGTAGTTTATCAGATTTTGGCGTCTTCTGAATTTCTGGATGACAATATAAGATATAGTCCTCGCCCTTCAGCGGCGGACAAGCCCATATGTAGCAGCTCGTGAAACCACGCAACTTACAGTATTCTAGGTAGCCGATCTATAAACAGGATCAAATTATGCTCTTAGATCCTCCATACAGTATAGAAAGAAAAAAGCACAGATATTGGTTAGAAGGTTTCAGAAGACCAGCACTTACCAGAATTTCGTGGTAAACAAAAGTACGCAGAGCTTCTCCGTTATAAGATCTAACCTCGGGTCTGAAGTACTTGACTGAATCCAAATACGAGAGATATACTCGGCGTTGATTGGGAAATGCGCATTCAGAACCGAATTCTTGGACGTACATCCCAAATAAGCATACTTCTACACCTTCAATCTTTTGAAACAACAGAACTACCTGGAAAAATAAAAAGGCATGGAGAGTGAGAAGGATAATTCTAAGAGAGGAATTCCGGAAAATAACACATATATGCAGGAAATACAGTAACAATGCGCCTTGATCATTCTTACCTTGGACTTGTATGCAAATTCTGTTGGGTAACTATCCTCCCGAAAAATTTCAAGAAATCGAGGTTTGACTTCCAGCTTCTTGTCAACAGATGAAACAACTCTAATCACAAGGGACTCGGCAGTGGGAATCTGTCCGTATCAAGTCAAAGAAAAAACAATGTCAGCTTCAATTTACTGTTTCTAACAAAGAATCACTAGAGCAAACAAATAGAAAAAAAAAAAAAAAAAAAGAGCTTACAGATGTGAAAATAAATGAAAGACATAAACCTTAACAAACTCCACCATTAAATTACCTCATCATAACTTTTTCCTTGAGCCCTGGCTCTCTCTGTTCTTTCCTGCTTCAGCCTCTTAAACAACCGCTGCTCTATATGGTCACTGAGAATTGTTCTCGGTAGGTCTTTAGCTCCAAGAACAGCACTCTGAGGTAAAGGCTTCCTCTTACTTTCCTCCACTTCTGCTATAAAGCAATATGGGCAGGTATACTCAGCCTGCCCTCCGTCATTCCTTCGCCCATTAAATAAAGCACATATCTGATGCTGCCACGCCTCACATTTATCACATTGAACCCACTGCAAAAATCATACAGAGAAACGAAATATAGCATGAAGTAAAAAACCATACAAAGATGGGAAAACAAACACAAAACAAGTCTACAGAGTGGATAGCCTTTTACCCATTCTTCAGTCTCTTCATCATTTTTCTTTTTCTCGAGTCTTGCCTTAGGTATAGGCGTCCCTTCGGCGAGTATATTGTCCCCACGGGATTCATTATAACATGGAATACAAAAGTAATGACGAGTGTCACCAGCTCCTACGGTGTAATACATAGCATTTCTCTTGATGCGAGCACCACAAGGGGTACAATAAATAGGTGGTGGCTCAAAGGTAAGCTTCTCCACTGCACATAGTTGGCAGGAATTCTCACTCATTGAATGCTCCATTGCCTGATTCTTTTCAGCTTTGGCTTTACTCTGCAAGCACATGAAAAACAACAGATGTACATAAATCAAATAATTATTTAGAATAAATATGGAAAAATATGTTTAAGGCAATAGCTCTATCAAGCCTCAAACTGCAGATGAGTCATCTAGTACATGTAAAACAGGAAAACTAATCAAACAAGCTGCATATAAAGAGATTACTACTAATTAATCACATTATTGTGCAAACATCAAAAGTTACAAAAATCACAAACCTGGCCAACCCACTGACGGAGACCACGGATATGTTCTCTCACTTGTTCAGGAGTGAACAATTCAGTTAATGAAACACCCTTTATCTCTGGTTTTCCAGATTTTGATGTATGTTCAGTAGACTCTGCCAGATTTTCTTTCTTAAGTGATTCAGGTTCTTTCTCCACTTTGGTATTCTCTAGCCTAGGTGAGACATCAGACAAATCTTGTTTATCAGGTTGACTGACAGGCCTTTGCTTGGGAATATTTTCAGTAATTCCAATTTTTGTCTCTTTGAATCCGGGTCGTGTCTGGACAGAAACATCAGAAACCTCAGCTTTCACTTCAAAATACTTTGAAGGTGCACGTACGTCACTGTGCTTATGATCTTTTCTTTCAACGTACTGAGATGATTGTGCTTCTGTTACGGAAACAACTGAGCTCTTACTGCTTTCTGTCTCAACATCCACAGGTTGAGAAGACTGCTCCACCTTCAACCGTTTTAATGAAGGTTGCAAATGATCTGAAATAGCAGCACCAGGCGAAGCACAAGATATTGCTCCAGCGGAGGTCTGTACAGTATCACTTGATATTCCTCCACCATTCACTGACCTGGCTGCATCGGTTTCATTTTTTAAACGAGCAAGGGACCGTGCATTTGCCTGTTGCTGTAGGTAGGCCTTCACAGGAATACAGACAGGGCAGTTAGATTCCTTACAATTTCGATGGTGATTAATCAACGTCTTTGTGGGGCGGCAACGAGGATATGAACATTGAGGTGCAGCACAACTGTCCATGTGTTTCCAAAGCTTCTGAACCGTAACACAATTTCGGTCGGGACACTTCCCTTCAGGCGCTTTGCAGTTGCGAGAATGGCGTAGAAAGAGGAGCCATTTCTGTTGATTTCTGAATCTCGGATCCCGGTTTCCGTTTCCATATCTACAAGTGGTAGTAGTAGGATTTTGGGGATTAAGGGATTCTGATGTAGTGGAGACACGATTTTGACCTATGATGGAGCCTCCAGACATATTATTGGGCTGAGCTTCATCCGTTCCAGACATTCTTTGACGGAAATCCTCCTGGATGTGCCGTTCGTTCGACATACTATTAGACATTTGAGTATGTTCCTGTGACTGAGATTGCCAGTGACCATGCATCCCAGATTCTGTTTTCACTCCAACAGAGAGGTTGCTAAAACCGTTGATAGAGTCTGAAGCCATACTCTGCGGGTGCAACATCTGCTGTATCTGTTGGCTATTTTGAGGAACTGATGTGCACATATCACTCTGACTAGTGACAGGGAGAATCTGAGAACCTCCATGACGGTCTTCTGCATTGTTCTGGTATTGATTCTGAAACTGAGAAAGCTGAAATTGCTCAGGAGTTTGGGAGTGGATAGACTCGCTAGGGTTCTCCATTCCAGGTTCATGTTTAACGTGAGTAACCATGTCAGAAGCCACGTTATTTTGCCCAAAAGCATCGTGACTTATAAATCTCTGTTGCTGCTGGCTTTGCTGCTTCAATTGCTGTTGATGAAGAAACTGCTGCTGCTGTTGGTGAAATTGATTAGGTTGTTGCTGAAACCGATTAGGCTGTTGCTGAAACTGCGGCTGTTGATGTGGCTGCAAAAAAATGTACTAAAGAAGATTACAAATCTGTATTCTCATATTGAAAAATAGATTGATGTTTCAATGGTGCACTTTGCTGCATGCTAAGTGAATTCCACTGATTGCTTACCAAAGAAGAGCTACTTCTAGACACAGACTGGAAACTTGCTGTATTGGCATTCTGAGTATTTGTCATCATCCCAACAGATGTTACAGCACCATACAAATTTCCCGATCCGAATGGGTCAGAGTTGTTTGTGCCATATCCTTCACCTGAAACGGTAAAATAACATTAAAATTAAAAAATTCTGATGGATAGACACAACGAAAAGAGGTTAGAAACCATATGAAACAAAACAAGCAGAAAAGAGATGGGAAATAAAGACTTTACCCTGCATTCCTGAACGCTGAAGGTTATCATAAGCCTGCTGTGAATTTCTGGTAGGATTAGAGTACGATGTACCTGAATCTACGCTTTTTGCATTCATTCCAACACCACCATTTATGGAGCTGTTAGACACATTAGACATTTTTTGTTGCATTCCAGGTCTAAGGCCAACACCCATTTGACTTCCATGGTTTTGCAGCATACGACTATTTTGGCCACCAATATCTTGCCTCAGTTGCTGTTGCTGTTGCTGCTGCTGCTGAGTCTGAGGTACCATCATGGGAGCAGCAGAAAATCCACCATTATTGTTGGAAGCTTCAACACTCAAGTAAGACTGGCCATTATTGCTGTTGTTATTTGTACTACTGTTGACAAATCCAGGGGTAGGCATCATCTGGCCAGTATTTCTCTGGGAGCTCATGGATGACATGTTCCCTCCAGAACCAAGACCAAAGTTACTCGATGAATGCTGGTATCCATTAGATAGGTTACCTGCAAAGAGAAGTAAGGGTGTTCAGAAAAAATATGTGCAGACAATTTTATGGCCGTAATTTATAGTTGTAGTGAAAGAACCTCCGAGCATGCCACCAGGATTTAGCAGGTTTCCAGTGTTCATAGCACTAGTTGTGATGTTATTACTTCCAGCCATTGTAGCATCTACTGAGGAAGTAATCATCAAATTAGGATTCCCCCCACTGTGTTGTAATCCTGGAGTAGGTATCATTGTTCCAACCGAAGAAGAATTAGCGTGTCGCTGATTGTAGTTATTTAACTGCCTGCCTTTGATTAGACTTGCCAGCCGAGGTTCAAGGGTTGACTGGTTCACGTAATCTTCCTACAATTCAAAGAAATATTTCAAGTAAGAAAATTAGCCAACAAGCTGGATCTAGTGGCAACATTTAAATACCAATAGCATGCCTATCCTTTTCTTAAGTAGATTAAATACCTTTGTGTTAGCAATTTTAAACAGCCCCTCTTCTAAGCGTCTAGCAACATCCATATATTTTGCTTTTGATGCTTCATCAGCTGGAGATGGTTGTTTTTGCTGTAAGATATTGAAACTGAAAAGAAAGAACAGAAATACACGGATTTGATTAGCGATAAAGTGGGAGAGATTCCATCCAATCGAAAATAAATAGCTGTATAACAAGAGCAAGAAAATGGTGGGAAGACACCAAAAGTCTAAAGCTTGAAGAAAAGCAAAGGCTTACATCCTGATTCGCATGGCCTGCCGAAGTTTCAAGATGTCATTGTCAACGGGAGAAACACGTGAAGGTCCTAAACCAGCACCAGCAGGAGCTGCACCACCACCAACTAAATTCTGCATTTGGGAGTTCCCATTTTGCTGGGACATGGTCCCTTGGTTTGGAACCTGGCCAGATATCTGTCCCGACATGTGAGCCTGAACATTCATAGTTATCTCTTCAGTCTCCGTCGCCTTGTCCTAGTTCTTCTGGTAACTAACAGTAACAAACAGTGCATAACTTTCCTCTCCTCCAGAAGTCAACGTATCCAAATTTCATCTCCTGATTAGAGCACCTTAGACTGTCCTGCGAAATAACTTGGAATAATCAGAGTACTGAAATTGACACAATTAATCTCAATCCAGTGGGATAGTATTGGTATCAAGAAACTGAGATCAGCTAAGGAAGTAATTAAACCCCAAGGAATTACCAAAATTGAACAAAAAGATAAACCCTAAAAATTCACCCCCAAATTTTGAATTGACACACAAAGGAGTAAAATTTGGCAGGAAAGAGCAGAACCCAGAGAGAAGTTCACGGAGACCAACCGGTTGCTAGTGATTTTACGATGATTGGATTCTGCACAATGGAAACAAAGTCGGTGAACAGCCGATGCGGCACGTGTGAACTCAAACCAAAAGCGAGGTTAGAAATTAGGATCAAGCAGGTCAACAAATCCCTGAAAGAAGACGGATAATCAAAAGCGAACGAATTCAGGTTTTCCCTAATCGGGGGATTTTTCTGGGCTCGTCGAATTGGGGATTTTTCTTTGGACTCGCTCGATTTGGGGATTTTGATTTTTTTTTCTTTCCTTTCTAGGGATTCGTTGTTTTTCTAAAATAGTAACCCAAAAAAAAATACACATTAAAATATTAATTTTGTTGTCTGAATACGATAATTGGCGCAACCAAAAGGCAAATAAATGAAAATTTCGACCAGCATTATGTTTAGATCGGACAGATTAGGATAAACTACCCATATGATGATCCTGTCCGTCCGCCGTCAAAAAAACAGACTTGATCTTGTCCGTTCGATCAAATATTTCTTAATTTACAGCTTTACCCTTATAGTTTACGGAGTTTATCTGTTTTTGTCTTTGACCAAATTAAATGCTCTTTCTCCAAACCGAAAACACTTAAACCGGAACTCATTGAACCGAAAATCAAACTCAGCTCGGTTACAAACAATTCAATTACACAGCACAAAAGAGTTTTTCACACGCATATGATCTCATCTTTATTTCTAACAGAAGCAACGACAATGTTTTCCCGGGAAAAAAAACTTGAAGCAAAGACTGTGTTGTATAATGGTTCAGCGGTAGAGACTCTCCGACCTCAGATTCTCAGCGATCTCAGTCTCCCATCGATCTCCATTCTCAAGAAGCTTTTCTTTGTCATAGAGAAGTTCCTATAAAAGGGAATATAACAAAAAGTTCAATAAGCATGCCTCAAAATTTGTTAGATCTAGAAAATGTGATAAACAGACCTCGTGTGTCTCAGTTGCGAATTCAAAGTTAGGTCCTTCGACGATTGCATCAACGGGGCAAGCTTCTTGGCAGAAACCACAGTAGATGCATTTTGTCATGTCGATATCATACCTGTACGACAGCTTAAATCATCATGAGAGGGTAAAAAGGAAAGCATATGGTTGATAAATGAGAACTAAAGGGATTATGACCTAGTGGTTCTGCGGCTTCCATCTTCCCTCTCCTCTGCCTCTATTGTGATTGCTTGAGCTGGACATACCTGATGAAAAAGGCAAGTATCTCTCACAAGAATCACATTCCGAGGTGAACATTTTACACTTTCAACAGATCATTTCATCAGAACTCTAGCGACTCAACAGTAGATCTTACTCATACTCAAATAATTTTCCTAATTACTAGGATGCTGAATTCTGTATGCATCGACCTATGATCCTGAGCTATGGCCCATATCAGAACAACCAGTTTTACACAGCATAATGGATTAACAACCTTGTTCAATAGATGCATGCGTACCCATTGTCCTGAGATGGCTTACACAAGAGCTTTGATAACAACGAGAACATTAAATTAAATTAAGGATTCATATAGATCTCAAAACTCACAGCTTCACAGAGTTTGCAGGCAATGCAGCGTTCTTCCCCGGTAGGATATCTGCGAAGAGCATGTTCACCACGGAAGCGAGGGCTCAGTGGACCCTTCTCAAATGGATAATTGATCTGCATACAAAGTAAAGTAGAGCTTCAGTAACATAGAGATTTCTTTCAATCTAAGTTTGGAAGACTGGGAAAGATGTCACTCACAGTAACTTTGGGATCAAAGAAGTACTTGAGGGTCAGCGACAAACCGCGGACCATTTCAGTGAGAAAGAGGGTGTTTATGCTCCGTTCAAAGACTAAAAATTGCAAAATATCAGGAATCCCTAATACTCGGAGAAGAAAGAAGCACGAGAAAAGAAGAAAGGAGAACAATAAAAAAAGTGTCTAGATCATATATAAGGGGTACCAGTATTCCAGTCCTTGGAGATTTCCTTAGAAAGTTGCTCTGCTTCTTCATCATCTGAATATTAGATAGGCAAACCATAATTCATATATGAATCAGAATCGTCGTAATACAAGTTGGAAAGGGGGGTAGATTCACCAAGGAAACAAGAGCAGAAAATGTATACCTTTGTTGCTGCCATAAGATATACCACGGGACTGCAGTCTAGAAAGATGAGAACCCTGCAAAGCTTGCCCTGACAAAACCTATCAATGTCGAGAAGTAATAAATAAGAGAGGTCTCCATAACATACACACCATAGCAAGCTAATGAACAAAAAACAAAAAAAAACGCTTGCTTTTATAACACAGGAATTAAAGATAATCGACATTCGAAGAATAAGGAAACCATAAGAAAAACGAAGATTGAACCATGATCATATCTCCCTACATGAATTCATCGATCAGCTATATAAAATCTTCTTAAAACTCCCAAAACTGCATTCTAGGCATTCAGAAAGTAAAGGACACAAGAGCGAAAGAGATTCATACGAGATGTCGAGCACGGAGAGTATTCAGTGACCTGCGAGCCAAAATCGATGCCATTGATTTGATTTAGGGTCCTCCCTTCCTTCCTTCTTCACTGCGATTGATGACCAAAACTGAATCGTCCGATGATTTTTTTTTGTTCAATTGAGCCCTAAAATTCTATTTTGTCCTGAGTTAAAGATATTATTACAATTTGGTCCCTGGTACAATAGTTACTGGTTTTCTAAACGGTCGACAGAACCGGATTTTATAAATCTACTATACATTTTTGCAACACTTTTTGGGGTTCCTATTCGGGTCAAATTTTGTTTAATTTTGATCCAGAAATCTTCAATCGGATCTTTCCTTATTTTTGACAAAATTAAAAAACGAAAATTAATCAATAAAATCTAAAAAATATATATTTTCTCAACTAATTACTATACCTAAACTCTTTATTTATGGCATATTCTCTACAATTTTTATAGATATAGAAATCAAATATGATTATTTAATGCTAATATAACAAATTTGAACTAATTTCCTAAAACCTCTCTACCTAATTAAAACATAAATATATGATTCTCATTTCACTTTTATATGATCTTATATTTATATTATTTTGAACTATTATAAAATATATATACTTAATAAAAAAATTCGATTTTTTCTGCATATGCTATGATTCAAATTTTTTAAAACGGACATATTACTCAATCGATGAAGAAAAAAGTATGTGTACAATCTATATTAACATTTTTGAAAAACAAATTTGCGCGTTTAATCAGGTCGTATTTTTTTTTTACTCTGACCCGGAATTGAGTCATTCAAATATTTTCTTAATTTCTACAATTATCTAAAACGGGACAATATACCACGGTGAAATCTTAAAATTAACAAATCGAAATACAATTATTTAGTATTTTAATATACATTTTAAAAATATTTTTACGGGTTGGTCTAAAAACACACACTAATTTGAAAAATATATATATATATATATATATATATATATTATAGAAACTATTTGAAAGCAAACTTTTAAATTGACTCGAATTATATGTCTTTTAAATAAAAGTGTTATTAAAAGAAATAACAAAATGATGTTTAATTTTATGGGACATGATTATATGGTGGGACGGGTCGGATTTGGATTGATATTAATACGGGATAATATATCACGGGTGAAATCCTGGGATTAACAAATCAAAATACAATTATACAATTTTAAACACAAAACAAAACAAATACAACTTAAAATTTTCATTTTTAGTTACAACGCATGTAACTCGCAATGTACAACAAAAAATATTATATACAACAAATTCATCAATTTATAAAAAGACAAAAAAAATCAAATAATTAATCCGCGGTTTACCGCGGGTAACAATCTAGTTTACTAGATTATTCCCTTAACCGAAAAATAACAGATTACACAAACAATATCCAGAGTAAATGAGTACAAAGTGCTAAAACTTTTTTTTAGCAGAGAATCGTTATTGCATTCACTTTTTCGCAAACTCTTTACAAACAAAGATTTGTGAAATATCTCAATTGAAGTTGGTAGATCGGTGATTTGGCGCAATGTAATAAGAGTTTCCGCAATTAATGTGAGATTGCATCAAAGGATTCCATCTATCGAATATTATTCGGCCACCACGCCCAATCCTCCCCTGAAACCGACTTGGCGATGAATCCGGTGCTGGAGGAACAATCCCTGCAGCTGCCAGTTTATCGGGAACCAGCGGTTTTGTGAACAGCATGACTGGTTCATTAGGATCCTAAGGAGATCAAAGAACAAAACCATTACAGGTTTGCTTAAGTGATTGATTATAGTAACTAGAAAGAGAGAGCAGGTGTTGTAAGAGAAGATTTTACCAGTCTGTGAAGCCATCCGTGCTGCGACTGTCGTCTTCTAACTTCTTGTTTCATGCCTCCGGGTTGAGATGCATTCAGATTTAAGTTGGTGTAACGAGAATTAGGGATAACAGCAGGTCTTGTGCGTACACGGGTACTGGTGTGATCATCTGAGTCCATCAGTTCATCATCGCTTGAGCCAAATTTGTATGATGTTGTAGTGGGTGGAAATCCAGGCAGAGCCAAGCTATCTTCCAAGAGCTCTGTTTCATGCTGCAAAAAAAAATCCGATCTATTTATGATAGATAATAACTTTTATGAAATCAAACCCATAGATGAAGTTTTAGACCCGGAAAGGCGATAAAAAGACAGCATATTTAACAGAGTTTTAGAGGAAGTAGTAGTAAGTACCCTGTATTGGAGTTGGATTCTCTGAAGGCTAACCTCACTGTCCATGACATCCCTCTTCTTCTCTTCTCTCTACGGAATGGGTAACATCAAATTAGCAACTTTGGAGAAATGAAATGGAGTTATATACAAGTCATATAAACTCTAAAAACTGTTATAAAGAACACCTTAATGAGAGCCTCCAGAATGGTCTGTGCTTGCCCTAGGTTGCGTCTAACCTGATAATAATATATCCCGTGTATTTAGAATCCAATAGAAAATCTTAAAGAACCCCTAACAGATAATTTACAGGCAAAAATAAAACAATGTTATCCAGAAAGAAACTAAAAGAAGGCATTGTAAACGTAAATTGCTCAGATTTCATGAAATTAATACTGGTCCCACAAAGAAACATAAAGAGATTCAGGTGCCTTGCTCACCTGGCGAAGCTTTTCAAATGACTGCACATTGTTTTCTCTCCTCTGCATCTGAAGAAGAAGTACAGCCTTATCAGTATTTTTCTTTCTCCAGTTGGATTTGAATAGAAAAAATATCACAAACGCATATAAAAGACAGCCTACCCTTCGTGTGTGGAGTCTGTGAACTTTCTCCCTTGGCCTAAACACATTATAGGGATTGGTGTCATTAACCGGTGGGGGAGGCTGTTCCAAACAATGAAGCAAAACATTAACTAAATAATCGAGGTAAGATGTCTTCCCAACATAGGCCTTGATCGTTTCAGATGGAAATAAGAATACAAACCTGTAAGCGCCGCAAGATAGGCTTCTGCCATCTTTTGCGCTAAGTTCACATATAAAAATAAAAAACGAAACATATGCATTAGTATTATCAGCCAAAGGTACTCCGTATGTGGAACTGCTTTGTCATTCACAAGGTTTATGCATAGGTTTCAAGAACCAATAATCTGTTAAACCATCTGTATCTCATCCTGTCAAATAAGATCATTAACCTATGCAACCTGTATCCAGAAAACTTGTAACAATCACATAAGTTTAGTCTCAAACCTTTTCTTTCCAGTAGTTGAAGATCGCCTGGAAGATTCCATAATTAATGGACAGTAAATGCAGTGCCTGCAATAAGAAGACAAATATATTCATCGAAATGTTCTGTACTGACTTCTAAAATGAGTGTAGACTTTTAGAACAAGAGATATGATAATCCAAAAGAATATGGAACACAATAAAAGTAAAGGTATACATCAGCAGCAGCAGCAGCATCAAACTGCAAAAGCACAGGAACCGGAGAACCGAGAGTAGGTGTAATAACTCCAGCTCTTTCCCGCGTCTTGTGATCCAACACCTCTAGTTTAAAAATAACGCTCTCAAGCCTGTATCAAACAATTTAACACATTTGCTCATCAAAATGATTGATTCTTCTTTTGGAATTTCTTTCAATAAGAGTTTGGATTTAGCAATTTTAGCAGAATCCAATTTCTAGTGAATAGGGCAAACTAATTCAGCTACAAGACAAAACTAAAATATCAGCATGATGCAGCTACAAGATAACAGAAAAATACTGATGATGATGAATTGATGGTGATAAAATCTAAGAAGAGAACAATAATGATAGTTGGATTGGCTACTTTACTTTTCAGGTGGAAGTTCCTTCTTATCCTTATCAAACTCATAAAGCCAGTCTTCATCCTCATTGTCAAGATCATACTCCACAAATTCTCCAAGCTCAGACCGAGCTGCATAACAAACAAACTTATAGTCTCCACATAACAAAGAAACAACCTTCATAGCCAAGAATACAAAATAAAAGCAGTGGTAATTGTTACCTCCTCTTGCTCGTAGATAAGAAGCAGGCTGACCAAAAGTAGGAGAATAATCCCTTTCATATGTATCCACAATAACAAATTGAGGTGTTGGTATTTCTGAAGCCGGTTTCTTGCTTGGCACTGGAGCCACCTGATAATGATAATGATAATGCAAGTAACAATGGTTAAAATGATTGAGAATTCCAAGTTAGAAGAAAGGGACAAAAAAAATGGAAAGTCACCTCATTGTCAACCTCGACGGAAGCTATACGAAGCAACTGAGAATTTCTAGTGGTAGAAGTTGGTGTCTCATCGTCTTCAAAGTCTTTAAACGATTTTAAAATGGGAAGCTTCTTATGAATGTCCAATGGCCGTGGCCGGAAAGAGAGCCTACTCATATCACCTTCTTCCTCACTATTCTACTTACAAGTGTGTACATATACAGATGATATAGATAGATATCTATATATATATATATAGCTCAAATAACTCAGAATCCCAAAACTCGAAAAAAACGTTTACACGAAGAGAAAACAAAACAGAGAGAATAGACCAAAACAGTAAAGCAATCGACCACGAATTTTAGGGTTAGGGTTTTTACTTTGAATCCAGATGGAACGAGATAAAAAAAAAAAATCAAATTCAATACCCAAAATTTCCAAACCTCTATCACTCTTCGTCGTAAAATTCCAGATTCTAGGGGTTTTTTTTCCCTCTGCCGGGCAAAATTGCGGCGGCTACCCAAAAAGGAAACTCTTTCGTGATTAACCCAGAAGGTCAAAATCGAAGCTTTGAAGGAAATTAAAAAACAAAAAAAATTAATGGAGGTCGACGTGTTTGATTCGTCACTAACATACAAGGAGGGAAAACTTTAGTAAATTCGGGTTCGATTTCTCAATTTTTATTGGAAAAATCATTGCCAGCTAAACAAACTATACGCTAACACATCACCACACATACAGACTATTTTAATTTTTCGCTAACTACACGAACTATTGGTATTACATACGGACATCCCCGAACTATCATCGGTTATGTGTGCAACACCATAACCATCATTTCCAAATAATATAAATGTCTTGTTAACTACACGAAGTATTTCTTTTTTTTGTCAACTACACGAAGTATTTTAATCAATTTTTTTTTAAAACTAATAAGTTAAATAAAACTATATAATATATCAATGTAAATTATATATGTACATTGTAACTATTCTAACTTTAAAATTTTAATGTAATAAAGACTAAACTAGTTCCATAAAAATATATGTATTCATTAAAAATTTGTTAATTAACTTAAACCTATAATGAACATGTATAATTTAATTAAGTGACACTTTTAAAATTTTAGTTTAATTAATTTCATATAAAACATATGTGTGCATTAAAAATTAGTTAATTAATTTAACTTAAAATTATAAGGGATACTGCATATGTAGAATTTAAACTTTAAAAATTATAATGCATATATATAATTAACAATAGTGTATTATTTACTTTTAGTTATTTTTTCATTTTGTAATTTATTTTTAAAAAAATGATGGAAATATTTCGTGTAGTTAACAATACATTTATATTATCTGGAAATGATGGTTATGGTATATATAATTTACATTGATATATTATATAGTTTTATTTAACCTATAGTGATGTATAATTTAACTAAGTGACTATTTTAAATTTTTAACAATTTAATATAATAAATATTAAATTAGTTAAATTAATTTAACTTAAAAAGTATAATGCATTAAAAGTTATAATATATATATATATAATTTATAATAGTGTAATATTTACTTTTTAGTTATTTTTTATTTTTTAATTACTTCGTGTAGTTAACAAAACATTTATATTATCTGAAAATGATAGTTATGGTGTTGCACACATAACCGATGATAGTGCGGGGATGTCCGTATGTAATACTAATAGTTCGTGTAGTTAACGAGACATTAAAATAGTCTGCATGTGTTGTGATGTATTGGCGTATAATTCGTGTAGCTGACAGTGATTTTTCCATTTTTATTTTCTCATTGTATTTGAAAGGGAGACAATTATTAAAAAAATCATACTTTATAAATTTAGTAACCATTAACATTTCTTTTTTAAGCTTTCTTCTTATCAAATGAACTGTCTTTAAATGTACACAGTGATTCGAAAAAGAAGAAAAAAAAAAAGCTTCTTTAATTTGTCAAGTTGTTTACCACAATGAAAAATCCACAGATTCTTTTTTTTTCTTTTGGAAGAACAATCCACAGATACTATTTACAGAGAAAGACCCCCCCAAAAAAATATGATCTTCAAGGCTTTTGGATTCACCGTGGTGAGCTATATGAAAATTTTGTTTATGGTTTCGATCAAATTGAATCAAGTGGATGTTCTTCGCCATTGCTTCTTGCTTTTCATCTGGCTTAACTTGAACGGGCTCCAGCTTTTTCTGCGTTTCGAGGTTTCGCAGAAGAGACCTGAAGCAAGAGCTTGTTGAAGCCATAGCTCAAACTCCTCTTCGTCCTCATCCATCATCTCCACATCTAGATCCCAAGGGAACCTACTTGAGTTTGATCTCTGCGTTGTCTTTTCTAACCCAACCATGTTCACATGAAAGCTTGGTCTATGCGTGTTTGGTCTACAAGCCATTCCCTATTTAATCAAAATCAAAACATGCATGTTAATATGTATCCTAATCATCTTCGCATTTAAGTAATCCACAAAGGAACCGGTAAGAGACCTGACCTGACAAATGGCCCATTCTGAGACGTCAAAGATTTTGCTTTCCGCGCAAACAAAAGCACGAGGTATTTCAATCTTAATGGACATGAAAAATAAAATGATTGAGCTGAGGATACTGAGACAAAACCAAATTCATTATAACAATCAACAAGGTGAGAAGAAAAAAGAAGCTTTTTTCTTACCTTATGTGCTCTCTCAAAGGGTAATGTCCCTTTGAGTTCGACCCATCCATCTCCATCTTTTGCTTGATGATATTGACCACAATCCTACATTTAACAAATTAGATTATCTGAAAGAGAATTTTGAAATAACAAAAAAATGCATGAAAAAGATTCTTCAAGTGTTTCTGAGTGGTTGGATTCATCACCTGGCACCATCTTGCCTTTGCCTTTGTCCTATTGGTACATATCCATATGTGTGAATTACCACACTTTGTACAGTGTATCCGCCTCGACTCTTCAGATCGATAATCAGGACCACTCTTCAAATCAAAAAAGGAATAATGTATAAAACATGAGACCACACACCAAAAGATATTACAGAGAAGCTAAAAGACCGTAATTAAACCTGATGCGAAGAAGCATGAGATGTCTGACAAACACTCCTAGTCCTAGATTCTTCTTTTCGTAATTGCTCATCGTAATCTCTCTTCTTTACGAAATCAGAAAGAACCTGAAAAAGAAAATACAACCTTTACATGTCTATATATCAAAATACCAAGAACATCAAAATATGCAAATACAACAATATAAGTCATTTGACTACCTCGTAAGCACTTTGAAGTTTCTTGAACGATTCACTTGCCAATGGACTCCCCATATTTTTATCGGGGTGAACCAACATTGCCTATAACATAAAGAACACACTTCATTAACCTTAAGAGAAATTGCATTAACCTACTCAGCATGGGAAACGAGGATAAACCTTCTTTCTATACTCTTTCTTAAGCACCGCAGCATCGATCATTTTATGCCGAGGGACCCCCAGTGCTTCATAATGATTCAAACTATTCAGTATTCTCTTCATTTCATCAGCTGAACTTGATTCTTCTATTTTGACTATTTTGACACTAGAAATCTCCTTTACGGTATTAACAACAGTAGAAGGCGCAGTTGGTTTAGCAGACGACTTATTCTCGTGAATCTTTGTCTCGGTTTCATCATTGACAGGAACTGAAGGATACTCAAATTCCCCTGAATAATCTTCTTCTATGATTGTTTCTTTCGGTTTCTTTGGTTCCTCGTGTTGTGGTTTTTCACTTAGATTGTCACACCATTGAAGAAGACAATTTAATATATCGTTGGACAAGAAGGCAAGATTTATTGAGAGGAAAAGACCAAGCCATCCAAGTCTGACTTTGACACAATACATGGCATATAAGCCCGCCATTAGAACCACCACGCGGGCATGATTTAAGGAGAATAAATAGCCTGAATCAAACAAAAACAGAGAAATCAACATCATGTAAATAGTAAAGATCAGGCATAAAAATACTCATTGACCAATAACCTGAAAGACAACCCAGCCAGCAAACTAATCTAAAGTGGCTGTATTGTAAAGAGCATAAGAATACAACTGATCAGCGAAAAAATCAAAAATTACCTCCAACTATAAACAATGTTCCAGTGATCCAAAAGTTTGCATACATCCATAAAATCAAAATTCCAAATAGTCCTACAATAAAGAGCCCAGGAGTGCAACCCAAGTTCAGAACAACAGCTGCAGCAGCTCCCTGCAATAGTAAATTCAAAACATTAGGTGAAACCCAACTCAATCAACCAAATCTCAAAGCTAATATAGACTTAAAACAATCAGTGAGGAATTGCATCAAAGATGAAGAACTATCGCCTTTCTGTATTTCGCATCTTAGATAAGTTTCAGCATAAGTTTGGTGAGTGGAACATAGTGCTATTTTTTGATCTAAAATCCAGAAATAAAGATTCCAGCAAAGAGAGAGAAATCAAAAGACATTATTACCATACTGAGGAGAACATAAACCAAGCAAGAAAAGGAAGTCAAGCTAAGGAAGCAACTCCACATTATCAGAAGCAAAGCAGCTGAACCCAATTTGGCGCTGCAATGGAAACCCCTAAAAATGCAGTCTTTCCAATAAAGAATTGAGAAGCGAAGCAACCCTAATAGCTTCCCACATCCACTACACACCAATGGCCAGTGACGCTCCACGAGCCCTCCAATCTTCTCCCCAAAGCATCGCATCGCAGAACAAGCATCGGAGCACATATGTTTCTGAGATTGCATCCATTTCCAACCTTGCTTAACCAAACCAATATCCTCCATCACCAAAATCCAACAACTTCAATCCCTAGGCCCTAGCTCAAGCTCGAGTTAGCTCACAAAGACAGAAACAGAGATTGACAGGCGTGAGAACAGAACCAAAGAGACTCATCTCTCTGCTTCTCATCCATGAATGACTTTGAGTCCTATGATTTGAATTCACATAAAAATTCCCACCACGGTTCGGTAGCTTAATTCAACAGATTTGCCGCATAAACTTAACAGAGAAGATATACAACAACAACACAGTGTGGCAAGAGGAAAATCCGGTCACGCTTATTCGTTCAACGCAAATCCCTTCACATGCAAGTTTCCCCAAAAACAACAGATTAAAAAAACAAAAAGGCAAAGCAAAGCTCCGTAATATCTGAAACAACAACAACAAAAGGAATCTTTTCTTTCCCCTTTATTAACAAAACCAGTCTTTGCTTCATTCAAAGGCATTCCCTAAATTACCCATCAAGCTCCCACTTTTAAAAACCGATCCTTTGATCGGATCCAAGAAAACCTCACTAACCATAGTAATTTTCCGGCGAATGAATAGCTTCGTCGGAGAATCACCACCACCGACAAGTATATCCCCGGAGAGAGGAATAGAGAGAGTGGTAAACAAAAATTAAGAAAATGGGCTTCTTTAGTTAGAGTAGATTGTAAGATTAAAGCTTGAGAAACCCTAAAAGAGCTCGTGAAAAAGAGAAAAAAACAAAACTTTCAAAAAGTTCTTCGAGGAGAGAGAGACGACAAAGTTTCGCGTATATAGAGAGAGAAGAAGACAACAAGATATAATCCATATAGAAGAAGGCAACAGTAATTAAGTCGCTGCTAATTATGAATTAGCTTTGGTTTTTGGCGAATTAATTAGCATTATTAGTTGTAATAAATGAACTTACTTACTGGAGTAGTATAATCTTCTGGGTCCCACTTTACTTCCTAGAGTGTGAAATCTCCTGCGGCTGCTCGTACGTACAATTAAAGCCAACACCGGACTTGGTTGAGTCCGGTTCAATTATGTAATTGTTGATTCCAAGCAATGGATTTAACCGAACCAAATCTTTCAAATTGTTTAATGTAACACATTGCTCATTGCTTTTAGACTTTTAGTTATCAACATAAGGAATTTTTGGTTAACGCATTTTCTAGTGCATTAATGTTCTAAAAAATTGAAAATGAATCTAACTTTCGGTTTGGATTTATCGATTATTAAAAAAATTGCTGTTCAATAAGTTATATAATAATTGCTGTTCAATTCTTCAATTGGCATTATGTGATATATCGATTTGAACATGTGAGTTTTTTTTTTGCTTCAAAGGGTGTTTTGAAAAGATTTTGACATTAGTTAGTTAAGTATGTTCTGTTATCTTTATCCAAACATCGTGCTTGTAGTTTTGGGATTATGTGAATACAGCAAAGATGCGTGATTAGTTTTAATATCAAAATTATTCTCCTACAATTCATATTGCAGTCAAAATTTATCTTACAGTCTGAATTAAACAGAATTAATAATAGGCAAATTGTACATTTATTTGCATTAGAAGATTTCAATGTTATTTTTAAAAAAGGTCAATTGACTTATAATCATTTGTTTTGTTATTTGGGGTCTACTAACATTAGAAGCAGTCGTGAGACATAATTTGATTTATTTAAATTGTGGTGGGTAATATTTAGACTGAATCTATGAAACTGATAGAGATGGAAAAAAAAAAATCTATGAACTCTGTAGCTTGTAACCTTACTCACTCTCATTTAAATTTTATTAGTTTTGTTTCTCATCACGACTGAGACGTGTAACTAATATATCGACTGATCAACCAATAGTTATTAATTTAAACGACTTTGATTCGTGTTATATCTTATAATAAAGTAATAGTGTAGTTGATTGTTTTCTTCTAATGACTTGAGTAGAAGAATATGCAAAGAAAACTTTGACCAAATCCTTGTAACCAATACAATCACATATTATATACTTCCTATTAGTAAATATGATTAGAACTTGTTTGCTGTCTAGACAATGGTCAGGTTTGTTGATGTTTCCAGTTATGGAGAAGCCATTATTAGTAGCATTAGACAGACATATAATTAATCATCAAAGAAAAACAACATCATCTACTTTTCTTGTTTGTCAACAGCAGCGAGCGATCAGAAACGCGGTTTCTGAACGCTGATCGGTGTACGAATCTGCGTTTCATTTCACCGCTTGGGCAATTAACAACGTGGAAGACATTGCTAGTCTGCGACAAACTATTGGGGCTGTCTTAAGGAAAACTAAAACTTCTAGGGGTCACAGATGAAATAATAATAAATAAAGTATTGAGAATCGTACGTGGCATTATGAAATGAAGAAAAAACTGATCTGACGAATCTGCTTAACCAGTTGAAGATAACGTTAGTAAGAAAGATATCCAGACCAAAGCCACACACTATTCGCCACGTGTCATAACCACAATCACTTATCGGATTCCCCTCTCCCTCTCATATTTGAAGCCACACACATGCACCATTTGGGTGAGAAGAAGAGTTTGATCATCTTGTGAGAAAATAATGGCTGCTTCAGTGATGCTTTCATCGGTGACATTGAAACCAGCTGGTTTCACGGTGGAGAAGGCGGCGGCTAGAGGATTACCGTCGCTCACAAGAGCTCGTCCCTCATTCAAAATCGTCGCCAGTGGCGTCAAGAAGATCAAGACCGACAAGCCCTTTGGTTCGCATATATTATACACAGACTTTTACAATATATACACGTTTTACCGTTCATGTGTAGCTTATCTCCGTTAATCGATGTGTGTGTAGGAATCAACGGTAGCATGGACTTGAGGGACGGTGTCGACGCCTCCGGCAGAAAGGGCAAGGTTAGTACTAAGTACTACCTAAAAACGATGTCGTTTACAATAATATTTTTTCAATAATTTTGGTAGAGTCTCTGAACGATGTCGTTTAACGCAGGGATACGGTGTTTACAAATACGTCGACAAGTATGGAGCTAACGTCGATGGATACAGGTGAATAATAATACAGTAACAATCTTAATAACATGGTTAGATTAGAAAGAACCATAGATTATGTAGTAGATGATTGATTTTAATTTTTGGGTTGCAGTCCTATTTACAACGAGAACGAGTGGTCAGCGAGTGGTGACGTGTACAAGGGAGGAGTCACCGGGTTGGCAATTTGGGCCGTTACTCTCGCCGGAATTCTTGCCGGAGGAGCTCTTCTTGTGTACAACACCAGTGCTTTGGCTCAGTAAATCTTTAAGTTGTTAGCGCATGTGTAATCATGTTTCTATAAATGTGTCGTCTGTGTTGTTGTTCTCTTTCTCTCTAATGTTTTAAAACTCAGAAATACTTTCAAATTTACAAGACTTCTAGTGTTTGTATATATATTCATCTTCCTCTTCTTTGTGATGTCGATGCACAACCATATGATGTTTTTTTGATTGATGAAAATTGAAACAAGAGATGAACATGATGAGAGAATATCAAGTGTTGTAGATCCATAGATTTCGAATGTCTCACGCTTAAGGTTTATGTCATTGGAAATCGTCAAGCGAGTCCTCTTCTTCTTCTTCACGATGCGAAGCTGAGGAAGAGCTGCTGCTCATCAAAGGAGTTGATCGATGAACTTCTCCATCTAACATCAACAATCTCACTTTCTGCAACATCATTGCAAAACAAATGCATAAGGAGGACGAATCGATGCAAACAGTTTATATTCTTGTTAAAAGGATGGATTTTTGCAATCTTCAAAGATGGGTTAAGACCAAGAATAGAGGAAGCAAACCTTCTCAATTTCGTCTTGAAGAGCAGGGTTTTCCCTAAAGTGCTGCAGTGCTTTCTCTCTTCCTTGCCCGAGCCTGAAACAATGACCCGAAACAGAAAAGTATATCTCATTCTCTGTATCTACTACTATAACATAACCAAAAGTCTCAAGCATTTATTAGTTTTCAATGTGAATTCAAACCTTTGGTCTTCGTAGCTGTACCAAGAACCCTTCTTAACCACAACCTCCATAATTTCAGCACAATCAAGAATGCATCCCTACAAATTTATATTTAAGTTAAAAGACAAAGAAACACGTTTATGTATTGTCAGAGACTGATCAGCCACGGACCCATACCAGTTTACTAACTCCTTCCCCGAACATAATCTCGAACTCTGCTTGCTTATATGGTCTTGAAACCTGCAAAACAGAAAAGTTATAAGCAAAATTATATTAAAACTAATTAGACATGGTGTAAGGACATGTACTGCTTTGATACTAACCTTGCTCTTCTGCACTCTTACACGAGCTCGAAGACCTATATCTTCATCCCCTTTGCTCTTTATATAAGTTATTGGGTATTATACAGGAGTTTAGTTTCAAAGCGGATCAAAACCACACAGAAATAAACTACAATTTAATCGAGCTGGGTTCTTACAGATTTGATCTTCCCAGCAGAACGAATTTCTAGCCGGACTGACGCGAAGAACTTCAACGCAATTCCTCCGCTGGTCACCTCTGGATTTCCATAGTACACACCAATCTTAAAAGCATAAGAGAACAGCAATGTTAGTTCAAGACCACAACATGATTGTATACGAGGTTAAACTAACAAATTGAAACACATCAAAGGTGAGTGATTAGTCATAATATTTACCTTGTATCTTATTTGGTTCAGGAAAATAAGTGTACAACCAGCTTTAGAGGCGTTTCCTGACATTTTACGAAGAGCTTGACTCATAAGACGAGCTTGCAAACCCATTTGCTGCATTCCAATCTCACCCTAAGCACGAAACGGAAGAGGAAACAAATTAACCTCATGGAATTTCATGCAAAAAAGATAGTAGATGTGCATAAAGAGATGGTATCATACTTCAATCTCAGCTCGTGGAGTAAGTGCTGAAACAGAATCAACACATATAAGGTCAACCGCACCTGAGCGACACATACGGTCTGCAGCTGTGGTGAGTAATAAAAAGAACATATTAGTTTCACAGGCACATACTTTACCATGACAATCACTACCATAACACGAGATTTAAGAATGTTGGATTACTTTCTAAAGCCATCTCGCCATTATCTGGCTGGCACACTATCAAATTTTCTACATCAACACCTAATGCTTTAGAATACGCTGGATCAAAGGCATGCTCTGCATCAACAAGCATTGCATTGCCTCCAAGCTTCTGCACAGTCAGAAAACTATGTTTCAGCAACATACTGCGATGATGTAAAGATCCGATCATCTAATCTTGGTAGTAGACAAGAAAGATAACCTGCACTTCAGCAATAGCATGGAGTGCTAGCGTGGTCTTCCCACTACTTTCTGGTCCATATATCTGCAGCATCAAATTTCAAACCAGTGAGACCACACTTATTAATTTTCTATGATAAAAAATTCTGCATTTTGTTTAACAGCAAGTCCATACTTCGACTACCCGACCCTTTGGCAGGCCTCCACCTAAAGCAAGATCAAGAGTCAAAATACCACTCGAAAAAGTCTCCCTGCAATACAAACATACAAAATCATTTAAGAAAAAAAAAACACACGGTGGAATCAAGATGTGTAGTGCCATGCTATTGGACTCGTTCCATCATAAAGAAGAGATTCTCACACTAGTGCTCCACCAGCACTCCCCAATCTTGTAACACTTCCTTTACCAAATGAACTGTTAATGTCATTCATAGCTGCCTCTAAAGCCTTTTGCTGTAAACAAACCAAGAATACAAAAAGATAGTGAGACAAAGAACTCACCTCACACAATAACAATGAAAGAGAGCAATGTATCTGGTTCCCAAAAGAAGCGCAAGAAACAGCTCAATAAGAGATGAAACTTATCAAAATTCTTTCTTTGATCCACAGACTAATAAATAGTGCCCAATTTTTGAAGAGAAGAACAAGGATATAACTATCCGTAACTAAAGCTCAGAAATTTGGGACACGATGTTCGAGCCAATGTAGTAAAATGTGAATAGCTTTCCAATATGTTCAAAATTTCAGCTCCAATTCTAATTTCCATGAATTGAGACCCAAACAAGCTTTTAGGTTCAGCTCTAAGAGACACAGGTTCACAGTGAATCAAAGAGAGGGATTAAAAAGAAATTACGCGGTCGAGGAAGCGGGAATCAGCGTCGGGAGAGAGAGCGCCGTTGATTCTGTCATCGAATTCAGAACTGATGTTGTGGGAGAGTTTCTTCGCGGCGGTGACGGTGACAGGAGAATGGAGGAGGCGGGAGTAGCAAGAAGAAAGCCATAACGGCGGCGAATAAGAACATGGAGTGAAAGAGAAGAGAGGAGAAAGAGGAGTGAAGCAAGGATTTAGCTTCAGAGACAAGACTAGGTGTGAATCCATTTTTCTGGGTTTAAGCAGAAGAAACTCGAAAAGACCAACAAGACGAAGAAGAAGAAGAACCTCATATTATTTTCGATATTTAAAATAATAATTATATTTGTTTAATATTTTAGTTTAATAATCAGGTAATAAAAAAATATGCTGCAGAGTTGAGTTGCAAAGAAGATGAGATTAGCTTAGATTTTTAACTTCTTTTTTTAACTTTTTAAAAGCTTTTGAAGATAATTAAAAGCGAATTTGGTTTAAAGTGTCATTCATTGTAGCGAAACTTAGTTAGATTTTGTTAAGAATTTGAATAGTGTGTGGCACATTAGTTAGATTTCTCTAACTTAAAAGTCTTGTTCTTGGTGAAGCAAGGAGCCAAGGACCAAAGATCAAAGACTTTTATCATCTCCTGCAATTTCTTGAATCATTTACATGACAACAATGCAACCCCAAAAGTCCACCATCTTCTCCTAAACTACTCCATCTTTCTTCTTCACTCTGAAAACCACATGCCAAAGATGTTTTATCCATAGTATATTCTAGGAATAGTTTGAAACTAAAAACAACCAAACAGAAACCATTTTATCCCTTCAAATCGAGTGAGAAGGCGGATAAAGGTACACAGAAAAGGTAATGGTTACACAGTTACACTGATAATAAAGCTTTTGCTAGTATACTAAAAGCCTAATAGAATTTGGTGTTGATAAAGATTTTCACAATCCTGCAGTTATAGAACGTTGTTGCCAACGACTGAAGATACAACAGCAATGAATCATTTAGCTATTCATCATCGTTTCATTACTAGTTCCTTTGGATGTGCACAACAGCATTGTACTCTCAACTCATCGTTCTTTCTTTAAAAGTTCGATGATAATGCAAATCAAGAGAGCATTGAAATTGGCTACATCAAAAGAGGAGTGATTGAAAGATACATGAATCGGAACTCAGAAAGTGATGAGACAAACTACGTACCTTTCATGTTATTCCCTTTTTAATATCATGTGCTTGCAACAACAAGAAAAAACAACTGTTGAGGGGTGTCATGTGCAATGGATTCTATCTGCTAACAAAAGGACAGTGATTAATCTCAGATTTAGTCTGCAGTCCATCCTAAAATGGGCACAACACCAGATAAAGAGAGACAAACACACACACACACACATTGCACCACTTGATCATACATACAGAGATAGCAAACACATAGCAATCCATAACAACATTAAAGACTGTACATGTAGAAGACTGTCTTTTGAAATCAGATAGATCTCAACGCCACATAAATGAAAAATGCTGGTAGATAAAATACTACTAAAACAAAATCCTATATCCTAATTATAACTTTTAAGATAACAAGAACACAAACATCAGAAACCAAGTTATCTATTTTCTCCGATCAAAACATATACTCAGGGAGGGAATAGTCACCTTTCCCGTTTATCAACCCGTGGCCGCGTATCCATATTCTTGATCAACAGACAACAGCTTATCGCTAGCTGTCGATTACCTAATTTATTGATAAATCAAAATAACCCCTTATATCACGTGACCAATTTATTAATGATTTCCATACTTCTCCAACCTTCAACTTTTTTTTTGGTATTACAAAGAAACAATATTTCTAAAATTTTTTTTTCCCAAATTTATAAGATAAACTTTTTGGAATATACCAGAGATCAGATAACTATTATTAAGATAATTAAAAAATTAGAGTATTAATTAATAAGCTCTCTAATCTGTGAATTAGCCGTTTGAATCATTTGATCCGAGAGGCTCCAACAGAACGATTGAAAATACCGAGAATACCCCCACTAATGCGGTGAGATGCACGCACCACCTGGTTCGTTTATAATAACTGTTGATGGCATTCGTGGCCCCTACTCTCCAAAACAAACTCACAACGCTCCAAACAAACCATTGTCATTCATCCAAAAACCTCTCTCTCTCGATCTCTACTCTCTGGTTTTGGATCTGGCCGTTGATTTTTTCGGGACGGCGATAAGTATTTGCATGAACGCCGGAGATGGCTTCTGTTTGCGTCAACAATGTTACTATTTCTCAGGAGTTTCCTACTTACGGATGTTTCAACCCACGAGCTTCTTTCAGCCGTGAAGATGGTGGTCGGACTTCTGGATCCGCCGCATCAGAGATTCCGAAGGAGGAAACAGCAGTCGGAGCTGGTGATTTCGAGTTTAGGTTAGAGGAGGATCCAGTCGGAATGCTCCCAGCCGATGAGCTTTTCTCCGACGGAAAACTCGTGACGAAGCAGCAACAACGGACGGTGGAGACCGGCGGGAAATGCAGGAGGATGGAAGTGGTGGAGATGGAGATCGCCGGTGGTGGCGATATTTGCTCCTTTTCTCCAAAGGCACCACGGTGTTCGAGTAGATGGAGGGACTTGTTAGGGCTTAAACGATTCTCTCAGAATAGCAAAGCCGCGTCGACGACGATTCCTTCGAATCCGAGATCGTCTACTTCGTCGTTGAAACAATTCTTGCATCGGAGCTCCAGATCCTCGTCGTCTTCCGGATCTTCCTCTTCAGATGCTTCGTTGCTCATGAGTCTTCCTCTCCTCAAGGATTCCGATTGCGAATCTATCTCTATATCCTCGTCTCGTATGTCTCTCTCCTCTTCCTCCTCCGGCCACGACCACGAAGATATACCAAGACTCTCTCTCGATGCAGAGAGACCTAACCATAACCATAACCTCAACCACAATCTCACTGCGAATCCATTTGCTCCCGCTCGTAGCCTAAACCCAAATCCACCGAGAATGAGGTTAGTGAACCATTCATCAGCAGGAACCGGAGGAGGGAGAGTTGGACGAAGCCCGATGCGACGTTCCGGTGGAGAAACATCTCAAACGTCAGCGATTACGAGCAGAGGAGTCTCTGTAGACAGTCCAAGACTAAACTCTTCAGGTAAAATCGTGTTCCAGAGCCTTGAACGAAGCTCAAGCAGTCCGAGTAGCTTCAATGGTGGAACAAGCGGGTATAGACACAGAGGAATGGAGAGATCGTATAGCTCAAACGTTAGGGTAACTCCAGTACTAAACGTTCCCGTTTGTTCAATTAGAGGTGGTTCAGTAGTATTTGGCCAGTTCTTCTCTTCCTCGTCGCAACACAATAAAACAGGGAATGTCAACAACAACAACAACAGAGCGTCGTCTCATATCAGTAGAGGCCGTAACTCCACGGATCGAATCTAACCCCGACAATGAATCATCAAATGGTAACAACAACACAATCTTGTTGATTCAACAGTAGCTAGCTAGCTAGTGGTAATCATTCTGTTTTTTTTTATTTTTGGTTTGTTTACAACAAATCTTATTTGTAACAGAGAGCGCTTTTTAAATTTAAGATTTTAGAAATTTCCTTGGACTGTAAATAAAGAATCTGCCACGGTGAAGTGTAATTCTAGGGTTCATTGACATAGAGACACAAATGTGGAATTGGAAACTCCTAATTGTGTTTTTTTGGCTTGTGCTTGGGTTGAGAGAGACAGAGAGAGTGAGGTAGACGCGCTAAAGGGAAGCGCGTGGGTCATAAAATAGGAAACAGATTCTTTTTTTTTCTATATCATATGCTCTTCTTCTGTGTGTGTATTTGCGCTCTCCCCACGTTGAAGCTTATCTAAGCTGTCTCTTTCATGTGATTTTTTTAAAAATGTAATTTTATTATATAGTTTTATTTTGTCGTTTTCTGTGTTTCGGAAATGATGCAGTTTTCAGAGACTTTACCACACTTTTCTCTTTCTTTCTTTATTTATTTATTTTTTTTTGCATTTTTGCGGTTTATTTATTCGTTGGTTTGTTTTGTTAATCAAAGAAGGTTCGTTTAACCATTAATGTTGGATCTATTGGTCGTCGGTTTGATGTTTGAATCATCACATGTTTAAGTGTCAGGATTCACGACCTTATTATGATAATGGTACGTGAAAGGTACCAAACTGTTCAAAGACTACTATTAAGTCTTTTTTTAAAATGATAGATTGGACCAGCAATAGAGATTGTACAAGTACAAGACCCCTAAGCTTCTTTCACCTGTCTCTATCCTCTGTTTGTACTTCTCTCTTTGGTCCCCTTTCTCCTCCCCTCACTTACTTAAAAAACCATAACAGCATTTGGGGTATAGCTTTCTAATCAAATTCCATTTTGAGAAAAATTGTGAATATCGTCTTGAAAGTTACATCTATGATACTTACTAGAGTAAGCTAAATTGCAGCTCATGATTCGTTAAAGCAGCGCATAAAAGAGAAAAAAGTAAGCCTTTCAAAGAAAGAAGGACGGACCTATACAAAAGAATGGTTGGTGTATCACTTGCACGTTGGAAGTGGTTCTTTTTGGTACGACCAGTTGTAATCTTGCTTCATCTTTATAAAATCAGATGTTCAAAAAAAAAAAAAAAAAAAAAAAGTAAGCTAGTTTTGTGGGTTTAAGACAAACTTTAGCAGAGTTCCCGAAATGGGGTTTAGGTGTTTGCATATATGGATGTTACCCAAAAAACAAACCAATTACATTTCTGGTCAGAGGCTCGGTCTTCCATAGTTTTAATTTACCTCGTTTCTTCTGCATCATCATTAACTATCAACACCCTTACAATTCACACCCATCATCATCGTTCACATAAATGGAAAGTTTAATCATAATAATGAAAAAAAATGGTTCTTTATAGAAGGAAGGTAGTGGTTTATCGATCAACGAAAAGAAATTTGTGGCCCATATCTTGTAGTCTATATGAGAGACGCTATTAAATCTAAAAACTAAAAAAAGCCTAGGAGATCCAATTATATAGGCTTTCAATCACGTGACCAGCACAGAAGGCACGTGACTCTGTTAACGCTCACTCATGTAATAATATACGGGCATCCTCCTATCGGTTTTGTCGTACACCCACGTGACAAAGATTTTATGGACATAATAAGATATTAATTTTTGAAAAGCCTATTACCAACAAAAACGAAGAAAATGAAAATAAACGACCCGACATATTCACTTAAAAATTCTGTTGTACATGATTGATTGATGGACCATGTGGTTCATCGAATTAGAGCTTGTAACGATACAAAATAAAAATTTTATTTTTTATTTTTTAAACAAAATAAATAAAAATTAAAACTGGGTATTCTAAACTAGAAACGAACTGATCAAAGCAAAGCCCACTGAAAGCCCAATAACACCAAACAGTGGAAAAAACACTAGCGCTTGTACAAAACACTCACCTCTTTGCTTTTGCTCCCAAAGCAAAGCAGTAAGCAGAAAAAGAGAGCGACAGCGACAGAGAGAGTAAGTAACAGAGTGATTTCGTCATCATGTAGTTTCCGAGGATGTTTTCTCTGTGTTACAGTCAAAACAGGGTGAGATAATAATGCTCTATATACAGATGACGATGTAGTGAATTCACAAATTCCCAGAGTAATTTTTTTTGGTTTTGATATTTGGTAGTATTAATTACCTAGCGTGGTGTTGGCAGAAAGCATGTGATCAATGTTATCAATACGTCGTTGGACAGATTTAAGGACAAGATTGAGAGATGAAACTCTTTGTTTGACGCTGGAGATTCTTGATGCGTGTTGTACTATGAATGGCAATGGAGCGTTTTCCAGCAATTGATCTAGCTCTGTTTTCAATCCAATGTGAGAATTTATAAAGATTCAATCATATGCTTGAATTCTTAAACAACTTTTTTTGTTAAATCAATGGAAAAATAATTCCTAATGCAACATTATCGGATTGATTTGTGAGCATATTCTAATTTCAGGAAAAAATAACAAAATAAATCGATTGATTCATCATCACCGATTGAATCTCGAGATGGTAATCGGGAAGAGGATAGATAGTACCTTGGACAAGGCGATCGAGCGAACCGGAGAGATGATCTTGGCTATTGAGCGTGTCAAGAGCTCTAGAGTCAAAGTCTTTAATGACGGACTCGAGCATCGCTGATAAGCCTCGAGCCATAGCTTCTCCACCGCCACCGACTTGACCATCTTCTGCGGCGGTGGATTGACACGAGCTAGTAGTCGCATCAGCTGAATCGCGGTGGTCGGATTCTGATAGCTGCTCCATTTCCCGGCGAGGTTATAGTTTGTTGGTTCTTTAAGGTCGTCTTCTTTAAGAGGAGAAAAAAAAGCCTTGTCTAGACAATGACGGAAATAGCCCTGAGAAGTTAATTTATTTCCGATTTAAGATTTTTTTAGGGCTTTTCTACAAATGCCTTGGTTTCTCTGATTCCATGTCAGTTTTTTTTTCTACAACTTTAGCTATGCTTCGGTGATATTATCTAATGTTGTGTGTTGATCTTTAAGTGTATTGAATCAAGTGAGATTGGAACCTTGGTTAGTGTAGAAGATGCAACTTTTTGGTTAGGATTGTGATTGGGGATTTTCATCAAGTCGGTTATTGTTGAGTTTGCTGGCTTATAACAAGAATTGAGTTTTTACATTTCACAATCTTATGGTTGATCATATCATTTTTTATGAATGTTGGGATTTTAATCATGTTTTTGGTTATTGTTGAATTCACGATTTGAATTGATTGAGCCTGTTTTCTGGAATTGTATGGAATTCTGGCTTGTAATTATTGAGTTTTGATCTCTCCTTTCTATGTAAATTTTATGGTTGCTCATAGCCTCTCTTTTTTTTTTTTTTTTGTTAATGTAGAAGCCAATTCTGCTTCCTTATATGATCATTGTTTCTGGTACTTTTTTTTTATTTGCAGTGGAAGAAGAAGCGTATGAGGAGGCTTAAGAGGAAGAGACGAAAGATGAGACAGCGATCCAAGTAATTTGGCTTTTGAAGACATGCTACTTTGTTTCTTGCTTCTATCCCTTTCTCTCTTGCAAACATTGTTTTTACTATAGCTTCCATTTATGTCTCAGACTTTTGTTTTAGATTTTGATCAAAACATAAAGTTTCAGATTTTACTTCATCTTCTACCACTTCACTGCTAGAATTTAGACATTCTTTCGCTCCATTTTGTTCCAATCTGATCTTTAATAAGTTAGGCCCAATGTGTGTTACTTGATTCTTATTGATCTCTCAACTTGTTGTTCTAAAACTGAAGATTACATGAATCATCGTGTCCATAAAAATGATACAAACGTTGAAAAAACTGTATACTAAACACGCTTACTAGAAAAAGCCTCATGATGTTTGTTTTCTTCGCCTCCTACCCATCAATCTAAATTGAACTGCATCACAATCCTATCTACTGCGTTCTGTCCTATAACCTTGCGCGATCGTAGCTCCTCCAGAACTTCTTTAGCCAGCTCCAATTCATCCTCATGTGCTATACCTTCAACGATTATCGCATATGTTGTCTCATTCGGCATTCTCTTCTTCCCAACCATCATCTCAAACACCTCCAATGCCAAATCTGTCCTCCTTATCTTGCACAACCCTAGAATCATTGCATTAAAGTTATCTACTGTAGGTTTATGATACTCGCTCTCCTCCATTATCGACAAAACCTCCATAGCTCCTATAAACATCCCTTCCAGACACAGCCCTCTGATCAAAGCCGAGTAGGTGTGCGCATCAGGATCAAACCCGCACCTAGTCATCTCGTACAAGAGCTGAAACGCTGCAAAGGTGTTACCTTTCCTGCACATACTCGTGATTACGCTTTTGTAGAAGTCGTGCGTACAGCATTTCTGCTTGTTACTTAAGCTCTGTATTATGTAGAAGGCTTCCTGCACCTTGCCATTATGCTCACATAATGCACCTATCGCGCTGTACGTTCCTTCGTTGGGTTTACAACGCCGGTATATCATCTCGTCAAGACATTTCACCACAAGATCAACTTTTCCTTCCTTGCACAGACGGGCGATTACCGGATTATAGCTTGTGGCAGTGACCCTAAACTGATGATGATGTCCTTTACTCATCTCCTTTAAAACCTGCATTGCCTGCTCTGTTCTTCCATGAAAAGCTAACGAATTGATCAATATGTTATAGGTAACCACTGAAGGAGCTCGATCTCCACCGTCCATCTCAGCCAAGAGCGAATTCGCTTCGTCCCACCTCCCATCACAGCACAAACACCTCAACAAAATGTTATAGCTCACAACATTAGCCTTAAACCCTTTTACAGGTAACTCCCTAAACAGCTTCATGGCATCGTCCGTTCTCCCTTCTTTACAGAAACCAGTCAAGAGCACATTATAGCTAACCAAATTGGGTTGACCGCCTTTGGCAATGATCTCATCTAAGAGCTTCACAGCTTGGTCGGTTCCTCGTTCTTTATAAGCAGCCTCAAGCAAGAAAGAATAAGTGAAAGCATTAGGAGCTAAACCTCTCTGCATCAACCTCTCAACAAACTGCAAGCTCTGGTTTAAGCTTCCAAGCATACAAAGACCTCGAACCAAGGCATTGTAAGTAACGGTATTAGAAGGAAAACCATGATCTTCCATTTTCTCAACAAGCTGCATAGCGTAACCAACGTTACCTCTCTTGCAAAGCTGATTAACCAGATAAGTGTAAGCAGATGCATCGGGTATAATCCCGGAGCTAACCATAAGCTCAATCACACGAATAGCTTTCTTCAATCTATTGGCTTTGCAGAGATCGTACAAGAGCTGAGTAGAATGAGCTACATTGGGTTTATGCCCATCCGTGACTAAACATTCGAGATGAGAGAAAGTATCGCTCAAACTCGGCTCGTCGCTTCTCGGGTCATCAGAAAACGACCCGGAACCCAAATCGGGTTTCCAACTGGATCCGGTAATGGTAAAGGCGGAGTCTTTAGGGGATAACGTTATCTGGGTCGAAGCTAAAACCCTAGCGACACCTTTATTCACGGAGGAGAAGTGAAGGAAACCGGTGGGGATGTGGGAAACAAAGCCTAGGGATTTTCTTGGTGATGATTCCGGCGATGGATTCGCCGCCATGGATAAGACTGAGTTCAATAGAGTCGACATGGCTTAAAATCGAACAGCAATCAGAAAAAGGAAGGTGATGAAATGAAAGTTTTCGGTTTTACGAACAACCCAGAAAACAAAAGGATCATAATGTACTTTCCCACTCTCTCTAATCCTAAATCAAAATATTTAGTCGAATTATTATTCTTCTTTCTTGTGTTCTTAAGATCCGAAAGGTTTGGTTCCTCTTTTCCTCCGCCTCTGTTATCCACGCGTCTACACCTGCGCGTGGACACCACGCTTTTAGACAAAACGCGAATGATATGAAGAACAAAATGGAATAATCATTGCCAAAGCATAACTCAAAATGTTTATTGGTAAAACAGAGAAAGACAAAAAAGGAAAGAGATTTCAAAAACAAATATCGAAACCACAATGGGATTTAACTAAACAAAAGACAAAAACACAAATGTCTGATAACTCTTTCATAAGTTCTGCAAAGCTAAAGACCTTTTCTCTGTACAGAGACCAAACTTCTTCTCCGCTGCTTTTACCTATCAGACACAAAACCAGTCTTGTTCACTTGATCTCTCTGATGCAAATTGAAAGTTTGAATCGATTCGCTCTACCTTTCTTCTCACGGTATCTGCATGATCTTATGCCTTCATATACAGACTTCGCCATACAGTTTCTTGATTTTACTGCTTCAATCTTTGATACTATCAACTTAAGACTGGCTCGGTTTTCTGGCTTCCGAGCATAGATCGTTTCAAAAACTCCATTAGTATTCTCTTTTGCTGCTCATCAATGTGTGGGAAACTTGAACGTAGAAGCTCTATTGGCATTTCGCGGACAATGGCTTGTGCAGCTGCATCAGATATCTCAGTAGCAAACTGCGGTGGCAATTGTGAATTCAAACTCTGCATGATGCTATCATATTTGCTGATGCAGTACCTCATCAACATATTAAAGAACTCGTTAAAGGAAGCGCGCCATAGAGCCATCCCTGTGTTGTTGAAATTATTAGCCCGAATAAGCTCCGAAGCTCTGTCGAGTGTTGATTTCAGTACCATGGAAGCTCCGTCTCCAACAGGACTGCCTAAGGGGCGGAGCGGTGCCTGCTCAGAAGAACAAGACACCGCTGCTAGACACGTGCTTACCGGTCCTAACTCCATGTTTTGAATGCACACATTGATAACTTTTGCAAGCTTATTTGTGGTTTTCATGATATCGGGGTCAGATGAAAGAACTCCGAACAATGACCTTAAATGACGGAAAATGGCCATGCAAACTATCCGCATTAGGTCGCTGCCAGGGAAAATTAGCTGAAGATACCTTATAAGGAGCTTCCGACCCTTTGGAAGAGAGATAATCCTTAGAAAGAGAAAATCATCATGAGACCGGCTTTGCCCATTCTTGGCGAGGGGATCACCGAGCTGAAGTGAAGCCGCAAGGTTCTGCAACAATGACTGTCGTCTTTGTTTCAACTGGTTTCCTCCGTCCTGGAGTTGGTTGAACTCCAAGAAACGATCTATATCATCAACTTCAAGGAGGAGACAAAGACCATCCTCAATGTACACTCTAGCTGCAAGCATCGGTTCTTGATCAAGGGGCTTATCGGTATGCTCTGCATTACCAGATTTAGCTGAATTTGGAGGGCCCACTTCAAGAAGAGGACGAGGCCTGCGGATTGAAGAGAAAGGAACCCTACCAAGAGCCTCAACCTGAAGAAAAGCATGAGGCTCGTTGTTTGTCCGTGCACGCTGTTGGAGGTCCCTCAAATGATTTGGACAGAAATGATGCTTCAGTTTTGCACCTGCAGATTTCTTAGCAAGACAGGCTTGGTGATAGTAATCATCAACGTAAGGATCATTGCTGTGTGTAGCAACAAGCTGCATTCTCAGTATATTCTCTATCTCACCAGCTGACATATATTTAGACCGGAATGGATATCTTCTCTGAATGCCAGTATCAAAGCCTTGTTGTTGAAAACGCATGTTCTGTCTGTTCCCATGACCTGATCCTGGTCTTGCTTCCCTCAGATCACCAAACCCAAGCATTCCATCATAATTTCCAGATGAAGATGATCGAGAAAGATGGGAATTAAATAACTGAGGCTGCATTCCTGGCATATGCCCAAGAGGAGGCTGCATCGGATGTGGTAACCTATTCTGAGAGCCCTGCATCTGTGGAGGCATCAAACCGTTTTGATGAGGTGGCTGTTGTAGCATCGCATTATTCATGATCCCGGAACTATCCCCAGGATGCATATTTTGACGATTCATCCATTGAGATGGAGGGCGATTATTCAGAGGAAGAGCAGGACAAAACTGAGGCCTGTTTCCAGCATGCTGCGGTGATCCATGATGCATGGTAGGCAACTGAGGCTGCAAAGTTGGAAAAGGAGAGAAGTTTGGCGATCCCATTTGAGGCCCACCAGATTGATATGGTATATTAGGGTGTCCTAAACGCTGATCAGGTGATATGCTGCCTGGAGGAGGGTATGAAACAAAAGATGACTTCGGGACAAGAATTGGTTCGCTGGAAAACTGTTGTTGATTATGGTCTTGATGCAGTTGACGCTGTGGTTCTGGATACAATTTTGTTCTGTCAGGGTTTCTCTGCTCAACAAGGTCCAGAGATGAAAAAGGCTGTGCTGACCACGCCTTGTCATCTTTAATGGCATCAGAGTCCAGTATTGGCCGGCCGTACCAATTTGGCAACTCCTCCCCATGGGTCCACTCAGCAGCTAGAGAATCTGAGGAAAAAACCATTGAAATGTTAAACCCACAAACTAAAGCCTTGCTTGCAAGATAGATGAAAAACCATGGAAATGAATTAAGAAACAGGGGCAGATCGTTGAAACATATGAATAAGGAGAATGGAGTTAAGACAGCTCACTCTAAATCATAACGTTAAAAGTAAACTGACAGACACAGATTTGACATACATAAACACACAGAAGTAAGTAAAGCTATGATACGAAGTATTACAGACAGTACATGAAATATTAAATCAATGCAATACACAAAACCAAATTGATCAAGTATTCTTTCACAAGGGTTTGAAGACAACATTAGTGCACATAGGAACTCACTCTGTATTGATCGCCTATCGGTGATTGGCCCCGTACTTCTATATACATCAGGTTCCCTATTCAACTGTAACAGCATAAATAAAAATCATAAGGTAACAAGCTTCTTCAAAGCAATTTTACCATTTTAAATATAAAATGATAAAGAAAATTGAAGTATAGAATGCACGTGTGATCACTTATCATGCATATTAAAGCTAGCTAACCTTTGAAAAAGTACTAGCAAGATCATCAACGTCAGACAGAAGTCTAGAATCTTCAACCTGCAAATATTGGGGAGGAATTGTCAGTCACTCCAGCATATGAACCGAGAATATAAAACAAATGAAAAAGCTTCAGCCCTTTCAAAATATAGAGCTGCTCTGGTTCCCTACAGAGATGATAGCTAAGAGAAATAAGGTGAGAATAACCTCTTCCTTATCAAATAAAAAGTCTTCTGCTATTCCAGTGAAAGACAAAATCTCATCTTCCTCCTCCAATCCACCCAGCTCAACCTCCTCGACAACATCGTTCCCAAAAAAGGCATACTGAGATGCATCAAACATTGTATTACCTGCAGAAAAGAAACCTTCGGTCAGAAAACACGTACTAGAGATGAAACTATAAGAATCTGATGCAAGTTTGATGAAAACGAGTGCACAAGAAGCTAAAGCTTCCAGAAATTGCTCTAATCTCAACAGGTATAATATGGTTTCTTATTTGACCCATAAAGACACTGGAGAGTGTTCAAATCATAAAAATAGCAACTAAATCTTTCATAATCTTCTCCGTGGGAGTACAAAGACAATGAAAAGCAAATGAAAATTAATGACGAAAAAGGTCTAAAGAATCAACAAAGAAGCAATTCAAGTTTAATATACTCCTACACAGTTGAAGAAGTAGAACAAACTAGATCCAGATTCAATCTAACAAACCAAATTCAAAACAAAAGAAATCCGAGAAAAAGAAGAGCAAACCTGAAGGATTATCTCCAAATTTCTTAGGATCCTCAGTCACGGGACTCCCGATTCCAAAAGCGTCCATAATCGCTACCGTCTACAAATCCCAATCACTAAAGGACCCCAATTAGTCTACAAACCCTAATAGACTGCTTTCAAAACTGGAAAAATCGAGGTGAATCAGATTGTAGAAGAAGATATTTCTCGGATAAAATGGATCCCTAAGCGATACCCTACCTAAATATCAAAAAATTGTAAGTTCGAACTCCGAAAACGCTTAGATGAAGGATTTAACGATCGAATCGAATCAGAGTAACAAGTTTCCTACTGAGAAACAATACATATCGGCTCATCACGGAAGCAGAGGAACAGATACGACGGAGAAGAAGAAGAAGAAGAAGAAGAAGAAGAAAACAACCGCATAACCCTAGAGAGAAGATATAGCGATGCCTTATTTTATTTTTTATTTTTATGATTGATGATGCAAAAGATCATTGCTTTTCCAATTTATTTAATTATTATTATAAGAATAACAACAACTGATAAGTCTTCCAAAAAAAGAAAAAATCATATCATTATCACAGAATATTAAGAGAAAAACAGGAAATTAAACTATGCAACTCCAATAAAATATATGAAAATTAAAAGAATAATTTTTATTTTTATTTTTCAATAATTATTTATTTTTATAGTTTACTTAGGCCATGACTTGTCAGTTGTCACGTGTGGACTTGTGTGTGTGTGTAAATCGATAGGTAGCCGTTAGGAGGGGTTAACCTCACTAGCGCGCTAGAATCTAGTCATGGCGACTTCAGCCTCTGCTTCGAGCTCGTCACCTCGTTCCAGTTTAGGTTCGAGTCTTTCGTGGTCTATTTCCCGCTCCCGCTCCCGCTCAAGATCGCCATCATCAGCTTGTTCTTCTACTACATCTCATAGGAAAAAGGTTAGGCTTTCTATTTCCAAGTTTCCAATTTGATTAATTAGAGAATCGATTTTCATAGGTGAGTGTAGATGATCTCACTTGTTTTCTTTATGTGCAGGCAATTTTGGTGAAATCATTCATTTTGAACTTGCTATAGATCGAGCGGTATCAATCGCTCTAGGCTAGTTTGCAGATTTGCTTGCTAAGAACTTTGCTCATAGTTCCAATTGACGTTAACAGGTTGATCCTCCAATAGGAGATGCGTACGTTGAATTCAAGGCAAGAGCGGATGCTGAGAAACCACAGCTGTACATGGATGCTGTATGTCTCTTTTCAGATTTCAGCCGAACTTGTATGTTTTACTTGAAAAAGTCAGATGATAGACTTCTCTCTTGTTTCAATTTTTTTTTATTAATGTAGGTAGGTCCAAATTAATGGAAATGTTGTTAAAGCAAAGTTCACACTACTATGCTAAAAAATCTGATGAAGTTGGTGCTGACATTGAGAAAGATGACGATCAAATCTCCCTATGAGTGGTGGATCACCCAGAAGCAGGCCAATATCCCCTGCTAGAGACCGTTCTCCATCTTGTAGCCGATCACCAATTTGTAGGCCTGCTCGTTCCCGTTCAAGGTCGATATCACCCCCGCAGGAATTCGTTAGATCCTTGTATATTTGTCAGTGTTAGATTTGATAGCTGTCGTGATTGCACAGCTACTACAGTGCATATTAGACTCCTAGTTCATGAGTATGGTCCAAGATCCTGCTTTGTGCTATTTTGAAATAGAAACGTATCGTGTTCCAGCTTCAATAAACGTTAGCCAAATATGACTAAATGGCCTTGGGTATCGAATTGCCAAGGTCTATGTGGATTCTGCTATTGTAACTCCTTACAGAGTAGTGTTTATCCATTGTAATTGTACTCAGTTATAGTAACCTCCTCTTTGGTTCTAAACAGGGGAAGAGGTCCAGCTGGAAGACGTAGTAGAAGGTAATGTCGTCTTCCTTCTCTAGTTACCCAAGCCCCAATAAGGTATGGCTTGTTGCAGACCCCTTTTCAGCTAAAGAAATAAAGAGATGCCTTGTTGAGTTATGTGTTGACTATCTAACTTGTGTGAACTTATAGGCTCCTAGGAAGATATCAAAGAGCCACAGTCCAGAAGAGGTAATACTCTTCTACTATCACTATACTTCTCACTATTTTATATGGTCAAGCTATTTTACTTTTGGAACACATGTGGCACTAAGAAGAAGCTCCCGGTTTAGGAAAGTGTAGGAACATTGAGTTTAACCCATTTATCTGCTATGCTTCTTTGTTAAAACCTAAAAGCATTCGGTGAAACTTTCACATTAGGCCTTGTCTTTTGACTAGATATCTTTATTCAATTGATGTTTACCGGGTCCTTAGCTAAATTGATATATATCACAACCTTTTTTCAGTGCCTAATATTGAAACGCATTATCACAAATCGTGTTGTCATTGTTATCTACTTATCTTGGATCTACTAGTTCACAAGCTTGCGATCAAACGCAAGATACAAGAATGTGGATGATCATTGCACCCAACTAGAAAAATCTCCTGCCAATGTTTTGCTTTCAAATTTGATTAAAGAGAGAAAATAATCATCTTGTGGGATTATGCTACGCGTAGGCCTTTGAAAGGAAGGAAAAAAGGAGCAGCAGCAACAGTAGCAGAAGCAGCTCACCGCCACCTCGCAAGACCTGATAAAGAAAGTTTGAAGTGACCAAATGAGACTCATGCTCGCATTAACTCTGCTTAGTTCGTACGAATGTGACTGATCGGTCTAGTCAAGGTAGGGACTTGAAGTAGGCTCATGTAGTGATGGATATGTGTAAGTTACTTTTAAGAACAACACAATAACCTGTTGTCTAATCTCTACTTTTGATTCAAACTGATTAACCAATTCTTGATTTGGTGGTGAAAGTGAATCAGTGATCTGACAACAACAACAACTACCACCACCATCTTTGTCTTTGTCTGTTTGCTTGGAGTAAATGTGGTTCATGATCTGATGGTAACAAGTCAGTACATATAACTCTCCTCGTATTCATATACATTTATAATAATAATAATAATATTTATTTCGTATTTTGTCTGAACGAATTAAAAGTGGAGGTGGGATCATTATTCATTTTAGCAGAAGATGAGATTTTGAAAACAGTAGTGGGAATCATGCAATCTACACATTGGTTCTCTTCTTTTCTTTTTTTGATTTAAATAAAAAATGAAGGGACCACAGACTGTCCCTAAGCACAACCACACATGACACCAAGTTAAAGTCTTTTGCAGAACCTCTTCTCTTGTCTCCTAATGGGGCAACGATTTTTTAAATATAAATGAATAAAATCTTGGAAGTTTTTGTTAAAATGAAAGTTAAGTTTCGATGATACGGCTAAGTAAGGTATGTTTTGAAGAGCAAGAAAGAGTGATGGCCCAACACATCTTTAATTCAACCGGGACCTCCCAAACCTAACTCTTTTTTTTATCTTATTCTTGTGCATCTACCTATCTTCCCAAGATAGTTTCCAATATAAACCACACCTTAATTATTGTCATTTATATCCGATCATTGAGCTCCGATTTATGATTCGAGTATTTGGATCGGTACTTCTTCGAGTTTTGAAATGGATATTACATCAAGTCATCAATACATACAATGTTAAAGTTGTCACTAAATGTTCGAAAATCATAATGGATCTCTATGGTCTGAGCAATTTTTCGGTCTCGAATTTTGAAAGAAAACTTCATCAATGTACAAATATATTTTAGATCACAATTCTTACTTTCGATACTTGTGATAGTGAGTTCCAATCCATATGCATGGTATTTAATTAGTTACCCTTTTTACCTTCCGATTAAGACGTTAGACCCAAATATGTCGTAGTGCCTTTGATTAATATTATGTGATACGTTAGGTCACGAGCTTCTCATGTATGGACCATAGTACATGTGATATGTATGCACTAGTAAGCCCCAACAATTAATGAAACACATGTCTTTAATGGGAAGCTTTACACATCCAGTGAAGCCTCTTTTGAATTGTTGTAAGATCTAGGTGTGTGATATGATGTTGGAACAAAAGCATAATTAAAGTCACTATTATCAAAACTTTGATACACGAATCATTATGTATATGAACCGAAAGATATATAAATATATAGTTAGAAAAGCATGAAATCTTTCTTTACAACAAATTAGATTATAGTGGTTCCTTTAAGGAAAGATGAAGTTTCTAGGTAAGGCACCCTTTAAGATTCTTACAATGGTTGTACTATTTTTCTTCTTTTCTTTTGAAATGTTTATATCACATGAATAACACCAACACCAAAACCAACTTTAAGTTGAATCAAATAAGAAGAGAGGAAAAAATGAAAGTGAGAACCAAAGTTATTCAAAGAGAAAAGAAAAGGATACCATACAACAAAGTCAAGGTGCAATGTCACTTGCTCTTCAATCAAAGAGGAAACCACAATTCAAGATTTCATTATTTTTTTATAAAACTTTTTTTGTCAAAGACAAAGATTTCATAATTTAAATAGTACATATGTTAATATCTCGTTATTGTATTGAAATAAGGGATCTCCTCAATGTTGGTCGTCTCATATAATATATAACAAATTCAAATGAAGATCAATATTGAAATTTGAAAGAACAAAACACGTATTTAAGTTGTGCACCATGGCCACTCTTTTACTTTACAAAGTCTACTTTTTTTTTTTTAATTGGCCTCTGTAACACAAATTAAGATGGTGGAAACTTGAAAGCTTTTAAAAGACAAAGGCATAATGTTTTCACTTTGTATTGTGTAGGAAAGAAAATATAACAAAGTACCAAAATTATGTAAAGAAGAAGAAGAAGAAAAAAAAAAAGAGTAAAAGGGACATAAATTAAAGTAGGAATTAATTCTTGTGTGTTACTTTCTATCTTATATCATCTTCATAAGAATCTGTCTCCATCTTTCTTTCTTCATCTCTTGGTTCTCTTTAATAATACATCAGGATGGATACCTCAACTTTTAGTTTTTTTTTTTTGTTTAATCCAATTAGAGGATAATTGAACCAATCCAATTTATTCAGTTAATAAGAACCAAACTTTATCTTTATCTTTTAATTTCCATATTACTGTTATTTATTTATTTATTTAAATTTAATATAATATCACATCATTATTTTTTACTTTCAAATATATACCCTTTTAAACAGAGAATCTAAATTAGATAATCAGTTGAATTTATCAATAAATGATAAAATTATCAACATTATTGTTTATTGAAATAATTGATTTTAGTTTTTTTTGGGTTAAATTTTTACAGAGAGTTTTTTATGAAAAAGGGTCAAAGAAAGGGCAAACAGAAGTAGCCAGGATGTTTCACCACGTGGCATCACATGGCGCCAAACTCGTACGAAATTACAAAAAAATATAACAAAAAAGGAAAAAAGTAAGATTTTACCCATTTTAACGGACCGTACAAAAGACAATTTGTGGGTCCCAAGTAAAAATGTTCGCCACGCTGTCATGCGTACATGGCAATACGCATAACTCATTCGGGCTTTTCCACGTGGTGTATTCTTATTGCATATCTCTTCAATACAAGATTAAATTCCATCTTTTTACGGTGATGAATGTCCTAAAATACCCCTGTAATGGCGCTAAATTCACAACCCAACCGATCTACACTATTTAATTAGTACGGTGATGAAGTTAAAAACAAAAAACCGAATCCGAGCGTTACTCCTGATGATAACACTAGTATGACCAAATTACTAAAGAAACGATTCAATAACTTTTCCGCCAATTTCGGTACAAGTTACCACTTCAAAATTTTATAATAATAACTGAAAATATTTGTGTTTTCAAAATCACCACAATAACCGATACAATTAAACAAAGATTGAACTTGAGAAAACGAGTAAAGCAAATGAGAAAATTTACCAAAAAGATAAATATAGCCAAAAATGAAGATATATCAAAACCGAAGAAAAATAAATAAATTTACCAGTATGTAAAAATAGATTTACCTTTGAACAAATTATATTGTATATTTGATATATCTTTGTCCCTAAAACTTCTGTTCACGTTCGTCGCATCGATGTGTATAAATAGGAAACAACCATTTGGGTGAGGTTCGTTTCGATTTGGTCTTTCCTCCCCAAAAAATATTAAAGAAAGGAGAAAAAAGCAAAGCCCCTCTCTTCACGCACATCAAAGCACCAAAAACAAAAACCGAAACGCATGCATTTCTAATTTTCTATCTTCTTTTTAACTTCCTTCTTCTCCACCATTTTTTTCATCATCATCAACTTCTTCTCTAGAAGACTAGACCTCTCTCTCCTTCAATGGCCGTCGATGCTCACCATCTCCTTCTCCCTCCTCCTCAACTCTTCTCCAACAGGTATCTTCGTGAGTTTATTTTGGAGTTTTCTCTGAGGTTATTTATTAATGATTATCAACTGAATCTTTATTTGTATTTTGCAGAGAATTAATGATGAATAATACAACTATGGAACCAACTAGTGGCGGTTTCTGCAATAACAATCAAACCGTCGTTTCACCTTTCTCCGTTCCTAACGATACAACAACGACAACAGCAACGCCTCCTCTTCTTCACATGTACGGCGGCGCTGATACTATTACGACCACCGCCGATTACTACGCCGATGGTTCTGCTAATCTCGACTGTGATTTTTTCCCTCTACCTACGAGAAAACGCTCCAGAGATTCTTCTAGCAGATCAAACTATTATCATCATCATCTTCTTCTTCAGAGCCCTAGATCATCATCATCATCATCATGTATTAACGCTGCTACTACTACTCCGATCTCGTTTCTTGGTCAAGACATTGATATCTCCTCTCACATGAATCATCAACAACACGAAATCGATCGATTCGTCTCCCTTCATGTAAGATTTCACAGATATCTATCAATGGCAGAGTTTTGTTGCAATGTGCATCGTATCATCAATGGTCACTGATTCCTACTTGTTCGTTGTTATCAGATGGAGAGAGTGAAATATGAGATAGAAGAGAAGAGGAAGAGGCAAGCGAGGACGATAATGGAAGCTATAGAGCAAGGACTGGCTAAAAGGCTTCGAGTCAAAGAAGAAGAAAGAGAGAGGCTCGGCAAGATTAACCACGCGCTTGAGGAGCGAGTGAAGTCACTCTCCATGGAGAACCAAATATGGAGAGACCTTGCTCAGACCAACGAAGCCACCGCTAACCACCTCCGAACCAACCTCGACCAGGTACTGGCGCAGGTTAAGGACATACGCGGCGCAGGATTAGAGAATAACATGAACGAAGAGGACGATGCGGAGTCGTGCTGCGGAAGCAGCTGTGGTGAAGAAACGGTTAGGCGCACCGTAGGTACGGAGGCGCAGGATAAGGCGGAGAGGAGGAGGAGGATGTGTAGGAACTGTGGGGAGGAGGAATCGTGTGTGTTGCTGTTACCGTGCAGACACTTGTGCTTGTGTGGAGTTTGCGGGTCCAGTGTGCACACGTGTCCCATCTGTAGATCTCCTAAAAACGCTAGCGTTCATGTCAACATGTCATCTTGACCCCGTTTATGGATATTACTTTTTTTTCTTTTTGTTAATGGAAGTCTTATTTTTTTCATCAAAACTTTGTCAGGAAATTTAGTTGAATATAGTATTATTTTAGCTAAGAAATAAAAAATCATGAGAAAAAGGAAACCTTAACTACAAAGAAAGAGAAACATCCGGAAATATTTTAAATATTTCATAGTCTTTCTACTACTCTTTCAATAAACATCGTTTCCATAATTTAGATAAGTAAAAATACCATAGTCAAATATAAGGATATATAACCAACCCTTATATTTTGTTTATATAATATTGAAACAGAAAAGATTATTTGTATAATTGTATTACTTCTATTTTTTGTTTGATTTAGAAGCCTATATAATTAATATCTCGCAAAACAATAATCCCAAAACTAGAGGAAAGGAAATGGAAAAAAAAAAAAAAATAGTAACAAAAGACGATAATTGGGTTTAGGGACCCAAAGAACTGTACAGTGTAAGGCGTGGAAGACACGCGCCGGCAAAGACGCGTAGGGAGAGAGGGAAAGGGACAGTGGAAGTTGTAAAAAGCTGACACGTCGGACGCGCGCAAATGTCGCTGTTGTTCGTCCTGCGTACTCCTCCTGACACCTTCTCTCTCTCTATTTTTTTTTTTCATTTATTTTCTACCAAAATTTTATGTGGTTACATAAATTAATCAATTAATTACGAGAATCAAAGATTCCATATATGTATATATATATATATACATATACATATGCAATAATATACATATATCATTATCAATAATATATTCCATCTTACGTAGAGCATTAAATCATTAGACCATCCGCAGGTGTAAGTATAGAAAAGGGGTGTAAGATTTTTTATTATTATTATAATTTAAAGTGAGAGAGAAAAGAGAGAAAAAGAAAGAGAGAGATAGAGTGGCTTACACCCGAGTGTAAACTTACATCCAGGTGTGAAGAGAGAGACAACTTTTACATTATTTTGTATTTTAAAATAGATACACCCCACGCAAGGATACACCAGTGCGGATGCCCTTATAGATAACCATTTCATACTTCTGTAAGAAAACTGTAAAACAAGTTTAGTAATGTCATCGTTGACAATTAAACAAAAATATTATTATCAGATAACTGGTTCTATCATTCTACATTTCTATGCACAGTATGTCACCGTTTTATACATTCCATCTATCGGTATGATTATGACTAATAATTGTTTTTTTAAATCAAATTGTATAACTAAGATTTCAAAGTTGCTTTAACAGATGTTTATACATGATTAATCTGCTGAATATTGTTGTCAAGAAATATAAATGTTCTTCACATTAAAACCAATATATATATATATATATATATATATATATATATATATATTGAAAAGAAGGTTTTAGATATAAACAAAAAAAAGGAAGAGGACACGAGATAGCGATGCGAAGAGATCATGCCAACATTAAAGAGGATATACTCTCGTCGCACGAATAAAAAAGTCCTAAAGCCAAATTTATCTACTGTTTACTTTTATTTTTTCCATGCCTAGAGAAAATCAATACATCTGATATTGATTTAGTATGTTAATCATACGATTCTAAGTGGATTTCTGATTTGTATATTATTAGATTTAGATGTAGACATCTTTGTGCCTTCACAGGCGGATCAACCAACGGAGGTCCAGTATTCTAAATCATGACATTTTTGAAACGTTCAATATTATCTACTTATATATTAATCAAGTACTATTATTAAAAGAAACACGTTAAGTTAGACAGAACATATGCTATTTTTCTAAGGCCGAAAGTAAATAAAATATTTAAACTAAGGTTGGTTAAATTAAATTTGCACTATCGGATGTCATGAAACCAAAAAAAAAAAAGACTTCCACTATCGATATTGTGACATTATTTACGCATACATTAACATGTGATATTGTGTTTGTATGTGTTGCATGTTTCGAAATAGAAATCTAGTAAATATTGAGGAACAAACATGTGACTATGTGAGGTGGTTAATATGAAATACACTAGCAAAGGCTCCCATTGTATGAATCTTCATGCAACTGCAAGTAATCTGAGCCATCTCTCCGCTCTAATTTTGAACACTTTCCTATAATTATTCTTGGTCCAAACCAAGTGGTAAATCATCTTTCATAGTAAAGATTCGAAATCTTACTCAACCTCCTCCAAAAAAGCATTGGGTTCGAGCAATTTGGGGCAATGCTCTCAACTTTGAAGAGTATTTCTTTTAAATTTTGTAATTTTGAAAATGGAGAAGAGTATATGAAGGGAAGGAACCAATCGTCACGTACACACTAAGCAACAAATGAAGCAAAAACAAAGAAAGAAAAGAGAGTGACGCTTGACCGATTGATGTTTATATATATATAAAAAAAAAAAACTTTATTATTTGGAGACTTTTGAAGAATCTAAGGACCATTTCTCTACGGTTATGCTTTTATTTTTAAATATTAATAAAAGCGAAACAAACGAAACAAAAGTGGAAGACTTGGTGTAAAGTGATGGGATATGCAAATGTTGTGGTGTTAGGGTTTGTGTCATGCAACCTGTCCACTTCTCATTTTAGATATTCTTTTTTATTTACACCCATTTTTTCCCCAATATTTCAGCATTGGTGGGGTTGCTCTCTTTCCTTTTAAATAAATTTTATTTTATTTTTTTACATTGGAGGCTACGATTTTAATATTGCTTTTTGGAGCTGAAAACTGTTTATTAAAAAATAAAATACTATTTGATTCACTATATATATGATGAACCTCTATTCCCATGAAAATTGCACCATTTGGGTATCATATGGTTTAAGAGAAAATCATAAGGTTGAATCATATAAAAATAAGTTAAAATGATTGAAATCAAGGTCTTTAAAATTTGACGTCGTGTTTTGTTTACAAAGCAAATTTTAAATATTTCCTTAATAAATCTTTGAAAAAACTATCCAGCTCAAATGGCAATCCAACCTTTTTTTGCATATAAATAAGAAAGTCAGCTTAGATGTTAAAAAAAAAAAACCAAAATACTAATTCATGTTAACTCCTTACTGATTTTTTTTTAAAAATGGAATATGTGTAATCAAACAGTAGAACTTAAACATATAATATCATGTGAGTTCAATAATGCATACAACTATTAGACCATCCGCAGTGGTGTAAGTGTGAGGGAGGGGTGTAAGATTTTTTTTATTATTATAATTTAAAGTGAGAGAGAAAAGAGAGAGAAAGAAAGAGAGAGAGAGATAGAGTGGCTTACACCCGGGTGTGAAGAGAGAGACAACTTTTACATTATTTCTGTATTTTAAAATAGATACACCCCACGCAAGGATACACCACTGCGGATGCCATTAGCTAGCTAAATAACAAAGATACATCAAATTACATCATCTTTGGGAGTGCAACAACCACTAAACAAAACGATTTTATTCCCATATACACGTAAGTGGCACAAACACGATATGATGTAAAAGATAATAGATTACATGAAAATGTCTTTGGGAATAATTAAAAGTAGAGATATAGATGTGAGGAGGGGTCATGATGGGGAACACCAAAACTTTATAGATTACCTTGTGAAAGGGGGCACTCATGAAATGGTCCAAACTCACTACCCTATTGATTTCGGTAGCTCTTGCCTTTTTTGTTCTATTTCCTAAGAAAATTATTAAATTAATAAATTAAAAATTAATTATTGTATCTTATTGTTGGGAAATTGGCGCCCACTTATCATTTTTCACCCCTAAGCCATCAATTCGATTTGACTACATAACTATGACTAAATGAGCCCAAATGGGAACAAATACATTTGTCACCTCTTTTAACCTTTAACACTCTTGTCAATAATGTGAATCGGAATCACAATCCCATAAAAAGAATAGAAAATTCAAATTTCAAAGTGAGTATTAACCCCAAACGAATCCTTTAAGCAACTGACTTTTTTGTTTGTTTGAAAAAAAAAAGTTTATTTTAGTGGTGAATATTGAAAAGTCTAGATTAGTAGACATCAATTGTTGCCAACGATTTATATAATTATATAGATCACTAAATTTAACATCTCGTTTCGAAGATAAATTCTAAGAGCTTATTTTTCTGTAAAAACATATTATTGGTTCATTAAATTACAAATTTTAGAAGGGTTAATGATGATACAGAATTTGGCAAAGACAATCACAAAGGGATAAATTTAAAACGATACAAAAAAAAGCACTAAGAGCATTTTGTTTTCCTTTTACATGGGAATATCAGTGACCTACCAATGCCAAAGCAAAACTCTATTTCTCTTGGGGTTTTTTTTCCCTCTTTTAGACTGAGTGGATTTGGTGTGAAGTCTTCTGAAAATCACTGCAGAAAAAGCCACAAAAGACATTTGTTTATTTCTCATCATTAGTACCATCCAATTCAAAAGATGAATAATTTAAAGAGAACTATATAAAGAAAATATATGTAATGTTAACAATCAGTCATATCCCACTGAGCCACAACACTGCAAAGCTCATGTGAATTTGATTTAGACCTCAAAAGAGTTTCCCTTTCTTTATTTTCTCTCACAAGTCACAACAATATGAATCATTATGATCACAATGGACCTGCACAGATGTTTCTCTAATTGGTTTTTATGCAGAATTGATGTCAGATTCTATGATATTATTATGTCATAAAATAACTTGGAACTTGATTTGATGATTCAAGAAGAGTGGTAATGTGGTTATAGACCCATCTGAATACCTATAGAATATGGCTATATGATTGCTCTCCCTCTCTTTCCTTTTCACTCTGATATCCCCACAACTATCAACTGTTCATGGATACCTTTTTTTCTCTCTTGAACAGAGAAAAGTGTATAAGAAAGGTGTTTGCAATAGTTCCTTCTTGTCTATATTAGGCACCCATACATATCCCAAAGTTTTAAGAGAAATCAAATTTTAAAAGAAGAGAAAGAAAGCCAACTACCCAAATCATTTATGTAGTTTGGTTGGGGTTAGTGGGCAGATATCATATCCAAGATGGAATATGTTTGCATAAAGTATCTGTTATAGATAGATACACATATGATAGTTTAATGTTAATGTATATGAAAGTACTCTTTTTTCATGTGGATAGTTATTAGGGTAATCAGATTGGACTATATGTCAATGGAATAAAAAGATATTTTGTTGGGAAAAGGTAACTAAAGTGCTGATGTGGGTATCAAGAAACAACAATAAAAAAAGATTTGGGTATCAAAAGAAAAGAAAAGAGAAATGGGGAGAAATCAAAAGTTTTGTACAATGTCTATGATTTACTTTTTGAAAATAGCAATGTCTAACAGTTAAAAAAGAACAGACATGCGTGAGGAGTTTCAGGCTGAAGATGGCATCTTTATTCTTTTAATCAACACCACCAAGTAATGACCACAAAAGCAATATTTATTATAACATAATCATGGAATTAGTTATGGACAACTAGATCAATTAAGGAAGATGCAATAAGGTGAGATCTAATACTATACAGAGAAAGCAGTACAAATACTTGTGGAAAATGTACTTGATTATTTATTGACAACTGAATTAGATTGGGGTTTTGGAATTGCTGAAAACGATTTTTCAAAAGAAAAAGTAGAGAGGAGAGAGAGAGGTTTCAGATTGGACCAAACAACGAAGGAAAATAATATTGGGGGATTGCATGATGTGTTCTTCTGTCCAAAACAGTACACATATAATTCACAGAAAAATGGTTGGGACTGTAGGACCACTGTACAATAATGGACCATAGAATTTTGTCCCAGGGAAATCAAAAACCTCCATACATGAAAATGATACCCCTAAAGTTTTGATCTTTTATGTGTCAACTTGTTTATTTTGCATCAGCATCCAAAAAAGTATCTAAATGGGGCTCCCTTTGGTTTTAAAAAGAAAGCCAATGTCTTTGTCTGTGTACAGACAAGTTTCCCAGATCAATCAATAGAAACTGTGTCTTTCAATATTTAGATGAAGAAAATTCAAATATCAGAGTGTGGTTATAAGTCTTTGTCAGTAGTTTTCTTAATGCAACATCAGCGTATCGATTTGAATTCGTGGTTTATATGCCGTGATGTTACCGGATGATCCTCACGTTTTGGTATGTGATTTGGCTTTATAAAGGTAGAAAAGGAAGAGAGAACAAAACAATTCAAAGATGGGTGTTTAATTGATCTTGATGCTTCAATCAGCTTCAAGATCTTGTCTTTATGCTTTGAATTGTGTACCCTTCATTTGGATGAGATGCCAAATGACAAGGACAGGAATCCATTTACTTGTTAAAGTTTATAAGAAAGCGAAAATAAAAGAATCTGACTTTGGATTTTGTTTTGTGCCAATAAGCGTTTTTTATGGATTTCAAATTGATAGGTTTCGACTATATATAGGTTAGTTAACATGTTCAAACAAGACACGGAACCTTACTAAGAACAAAAACAGACAACTAACTACGCAGTTTATCACGAGAAACCAAATGCTTACTAGTCGTTTATCCAACAAAGCAAAGCAAAAATTGATGTATCAGCAGCCTATTACCATCCAACGCCATGAAAAAGAGAGTTTTGTTGTTTATCTCCAAAAACCAATTTAAAAATGGTGGCATACAATGTAGAAACAAAAACGGGGCCAGCAGAAAACAACGAGACAGGACTTGGTTGTTATAATGCACTTGTGTATTTTACCATAAATCTGTCAAAAGAAAAATAAAGAGGCTAATAATGAAAACACTGACCTTTTGTTTTTGAACATGAATGCGACTCAGGTCTAAAATTGGGGATTGTGGAGTGCGACTTAATTGTTTTTCCCTTTGGCTCTTTTCCCATGATGCCTTCACAAGCCACATGAGTTCTGGACCCCCTTTCCCTGCATTCAAATAAATGTTCCGTCGTGTGTAAACACGAAGAAGATTCCGTTATCGTTTTCTCCAGAAAACAATCAAGAGAGTCGTGTACATAGAGATAAAAACAAGTGTATTATAATACTAACTGCATCCACAACCTCCACATGGACGAGATAGTTCAAATCACATTCACAGTACCTAGTCAATAAGCCAGTCACATCTCCCTTGGGTACCATATCAGACGCTGTGACACGTTCTGGCTTTCAGAAAGTTAGCATCCTCAATCACCACATACTATTTACACTTCTGTTTGTTGGTGGAAACTTTAATATCTTAACAAGTACGTTTCTTTTCTTCACATGAGAAGACACTGACGGTAAGAAGATATGATACAGTGAAATGCTTATCAGGTTCAGGGTCCTAAAAACTTAATCTTATTTGCTTGATATAAGATTAGGAGAAAACACTTGAAGACTGCATTTCATTAGATAGATTGACTTCTTTCCGACCACAGAGTGCAACAAATCTATCATGGAACAATAACAATGGGCATTTCTCGATCAAATTAGAACCAGCATAAGCATCTTTGAGAAATACCGTACCCCTTGCTCCTTTGTTAGTAATGTAGAAGATCCCTTGATGCTTTATCAAGCAAAGTATTAGCCTTGACGGAAGCAGATACTCAGAGTGGAATGCATCCAACTGAGCGCATGTCACTCTCTTCTCCATTGTTAAACTGAGCAGTTCATGAAGCACAGCTACAACTCGTTTCCTAGCTTTAGGATCTGCAGCATCAAATCTTCTTGCATTAAGATAAGGAGATGGAAATTCCATTTTCTGCCACTTCTCAAATTCCTCTAAATAACTTGCGTTAGGCCTAAAACCAGGAGGAAAAGAAACCTTAAACGCATTTCGTCCCAAGAAATTGCCATCCTTTGTTATCCTGACCCTCTTTCTGTCCCCAACTGACTCGGGGACTCCTTCACGGGATAACCTATCCTCTCGTGCCGTGGTTGCCAGAGAAGAATCCCAATTCTCTAAGACAAGATTAACTTTTCCATTGATAACCTTTAAAGAGAAAAATTCAGGGTACTTAGGGATCAATGTACTCTTAAAATCTTGAGGCAAACCCATTGCAGATTGGATGAACTCAACCTTCTCCAAAGGCACTCGACAATCAACAGACATCATCAATAACTTCCTAAGATTATTAACCAGAATAGGTTCCATTGACTCTGTAGCTTCACCTTCCTCAGCTGCAATCTTATTAGCTTTCTCAGTCAGCATAACAAAAGGAGGTTCCTTGTTTCCACCTCCAACATAAAATATCGAAGGGTATTTCTCAATGGCAGCCATTAAGTTCCACTTGTGAACAAACCCAACATGCTTCTCAAGATCCCTAAGAAGAAGGCTTCCATGTTTCTGCGCCTGAATAATAGATTTCAACTGGAGTATCAGAGCTGGTTTCTTGTTCAAGTCTATCGCTTTATCAAGCTCATGAACTCTGTGATATACTTTCTGCTTGGGTCTCCATCCTCCTCCACCAGACTTGTGTCGCACCTGAACAACCGTCCATTGCGATCTACTTCCAGGAAACAAGAAGAAATTTTCAGTTTCTCGAAGCATATCGATTCTCAAAATTTGGATCAGACCGGAAGAGATGGAACATCTTCTGTATAATAACGGTTTAGACATTCTATCAAACACCTTGTGTGCACAATCCTCGCCAAACAAAATGAATTACAAATCTTCTCTGAGAAAGACTAGACGAGAAAACAATAACAGTTTCTCCGAGTCCGAAGAAGAGTGCATAACCGCATGGATAAGCTCACACTAACCCGTTAATTTGGGATCCAATTCGGGATTTTCCTTGTTGCTTCCCCAATATCTTCCTAGAAAATATACATACATTGATACATACTCTCTCAGGACTTTGAGGTTCGCGGTCATTCTATTCAGAACCAAAATCTCTTTTATGGGCTTCCAAATATTTATATTCAGGCCCAATAAGTCGACCCATTTATCTAATACTCTAGATAGTTTTTCTACTCGTCAATTGAAGCTCATGTGTATACTACAAAAAAATCAAATCACAAGTTCACATTATTCGTACACAAAGGTAAATATTGTCTTGAGCTTAGAAGATAGAAACACACATGAACAATTCACAGGTAACAAGCTTAGCTTAGTTTCGGATCCAAGAGCCATTGCATCTCTTTGAGTCCAACTTTTGTCGTTTTAGCTCATGTTCTTGGTGACAAGTCCTACGAAAGACAGGTAAAGATCTCTGTTCTCTGTTCCGAATATCTCAGAGTTGTATATGTGGGAGACATTGCACCTGAAGTTTTCTTGGGCGGTCCTGCACTGAAACTACTTCGAGGAGAGATTATATCCGGTGTTCTAGTTGGCCTAATCCAGGGAGAAACAGAAAATCTTGGTCCTGTGTATGTACTTTGAAGCTGCTAAGTAAAATATCAGCATAAGTCATATGTATTCATTCATATACTTGTCTAGTTGTGAAATAGAGGTAATAAATAATCCAGTGTTACCTTGGTCAAGTGGATGAGTCAAGTCTGAAGATTTACTGTAAGAATGTTGGAAGCAGTGCACATTTTTCCTTTGGTCTGCTTTGAGGTAACAGAGCGAGATATTGACTATCAAACAAGGCAACTCATGTGTGCGATTTAAGAGTTTCATTAGCATCTTAATACTGATACAGTACCTTTGTCTGGATACGAATCAGGAACTGACTGGTCACATGTCCTGATATCAACAGGTTCTGTTTGCTGCAGAAACAAACGTAGTAGAGGCGATTACAGAAGAAGAAAAATCTGCCATGAGAAAAGCTGCTAAAACTAAATTATCTTACCTGATCATTTTCATTACTAAAGGATTGAATCAATTTCCTCTTGAAGGTCTCCAACTGAAATAAAAAAAATATATAAAGATTAGTTGTTTCTTCCCCAGAGTGTATGCCTAGAACATTACTTACACAAGCAAACACAAAGAATCATAAAACCAACAATATAAAAGAGCTTAACCTTAGCCATTTCACGATTCAAATCCGTTACAGTTGTTGCCAGTGAATCACGTTCCTTTGTCAGATTCATCTTCACCGGAAAATAAAGATGGTATATTAGTAATCAAAGCCATAAAATGACATAGAAACCTGTGATTCTTGAGAATATGTTCATTCACAACTATGGAGATGATCATAGATCTTAAAATGCATACTAAGCTAAGTAAAGATTATCAAGCAGCTCAAATTTAGTGATTAAAATCCGACACACTTAACCAATTCATAAGTAAACGGAAACGAAACAGAGAATCAACGGAGGACGGGCAGAGAAAAAGAGATAATAGAAAATTTCCTCACATTATCATGGCGGATGATCTTCAACCTTGAATCGGCTTCTCGGAAATCTCTCTCGAAACGAGACGCCTTACCCTTGAGCTCGTGGATACCCATTTCCATCTCCTGGAGTTTCTGCCTTAATCCGACCACCTCTGCCTCCAAATTCAGGCGATCGCCACGGACGTGTTCTTCGCGAGATCCAGCTGCTCGAAAGGATCTGTCGGAATTAGCGATAGAATCTCATCAGGAAGCTCGATATCCGATCGGCCTCCTCTGACTACTCCGGAAAGTCTCGACATTCCTTAAGCTCTGTTTTTTTTTTCTCCCATGTTTAAAATCTCTTTAGATACTTTTTTCCCTCCAAAAAAAAGTCATATATGAACATTAATTTTGTGTTTATTTACTACGAAATTTCCCGAAATACAGAAAAAAAAAATACGATAAAAAACCATCTATCAGTATTTTGTTTTGTTAATTTATACTCTTTTTTAATTATCAAATCGATAAAATAAACTAAAAATTGCATATTTATGGTAAAAAAAATAGATTAATAAACGCAACGCTGTTTTTTATCCATTCCGTCGGTTTTACTATGTATATGTCATCATATAAAAAAAAAAGCCGAAATGGTATAAAATTAATTTATACAGCAAAAGTTTTTTTGTGTTTTTGGCAATCTACATTTCTTAAAGTTGTTAACAATTACTCTTCTATTTGTATTTTGACTATTGTAAGTGAAGAAAGTTTGGAAAATCAGCAGCATTTTAGAGAGTTTCTCATATTGCATAATCAAAATTAGGTAGTTCTTTCAATTGTTAAAATTGACCATGACTCATTATGCTAACACATATATGTATGAAATAAATTAAATACCATTTGTGTCATCTCAAAATAAAATAATACTTAATATACACATTTCCGATAAGCTTAATGTGAGTCCACCTCTCTCACATATATAATAAACGAATATATATCGCATATTTCTGTCTCTCTTTCTCTAGAATCTTTGAAACTAGAACCAAAGATGAAGCCTCTGATTCGACGTCTCTCACGAATCGCAGACTCATCTTCCTGCAACCGAAATCGCAGCAGCAGTATCCATCATCCGACGTCGGCGTCCTCTTCCGTTTTCTTGGTCAAGAGAGCAACCGTGGCGTCGAGTGTTCCCTCCGGCCACGTCCCCGTCAACGTCGGCGAAGAGATGGAGAGGTTCGTGGTGAGTGCAGAGCTGCTGAATCATCCTGTTTTCGTTGGATTGCTGAATCGATCAGCTCAAGAATACGGATATGCTCAGAGAGGAGTTCTTCATATTCCTTGTAACGTATTCGTGTTCGAGCAAATTGTGGAGTCTCTCCGTTCTGGAATCGCTGATACATCAGAGCTCATTGCGTCGTTATCTGGTGAAGATGTATCCACAGAGTAGAAGATGCATGATTCTGTTTTTTTTTTTTTCGAGTTTCGTTGACAAACAGCAATTGTTCTTCGGTCTTCTCCTTTTTTATTTGACTGATCGGAGAAATTTTCTTTATGATTGATAATATGAAAATTGTTTTTTTCGATTTTATCTCCAAATTATCAATTTAATTAATAATGTGAAATAAAATTGAAGTGACAAAAATGCAAGTTATTTCACGTACCGTACTACGGATATCATCATAGACTATATAATAATAATTATTATTATTTTAAAGTTTGAAGTCAATGAATTAACTGATAAAGTTGTTGATTATATATCCATGATATCGTCCCAACACCTAACATTTAATTGATTAAAAAGTTCAGATATATGATGCGATGTGAGTCTTGCGTGGATAATCCACTATGAAAAGACGTAAATCCACTACGAAGATTACTTATATTTTTTAATTGAAGAAATGATAATTCGAAAAGCTTATATATTATAAAGTAGCAAATATCTTGTAATAACGACGATTGATTGACTATATGTGTATTAAAATAGTGTCTGGAACAAAAGGTCTCAACATGGCCGTATCTTCCATGTACCGTCGTCGTTGTACGGCTGGACTTTTTTTTTTGTGGGGAACAATTTGCTGTTTACAGCTTACAACATATATTAGCTGAGAATGATCTCCATTTCTATTTTTTTAAACAAAGTAAACGGTTTGTGGCCAACAGTGAGTGGATTAGAGGATGATCTTGCGTATCTTTTAACTCTGCAGGCACATGTATCACTAAGTTGTTTTGTATAAATGATCGATTTTATACGACGATGTTGGTACTACTTTCTAAGAAATCAATTCAAATAAACAATCCTGAAAATATACGAGAACATCATCACATAGACACAATTATTTTTGTTATCCAAGCTTTCAGGATTACCAAGGTCGATGTGAATAAAAATACTTTTCTTGTTGACAAAAAATGTCACTCTTACCAAAACTGTATTCAAAATTTAGAATGAACAACTTTAACTGATGCGTATTAAGTTACGCAATGCATAAAACCTTTTGAAGGGAGAAGAAGACAAAAAGCCTTTCAAATTTTCTTTTTGGATTTAGGGTTCTTAAGTTTCTTCTTCACAACGTTAATCTGTTTCTTCATTGGTTTTTTCTTCTCAGACTGTAACTCCATTCTCACTCTCTTGTCTTCTTTTATATCTCGAAGAATAGTAAAGTTCTCTTTCAATTTCTTGCTGAGCTTAACCATGTCGATTTCCGGAACATTCTTTGCTTCTTCAGGCAAACTCTCTCGTTTCCGTTTGTTCAGTTTCCGAGACTCGTTCTTAAGCTCAAACGATTCCTTTACAAGAGAGAAATCTGCAAATGCCTGTTGTGGAGTCACTGCAGACAGAAATGTTTGGCTTTGAGAAGTGTTCATGTTGGAGACTGTTGTGGCCATTGTTGAGATCGCAGGATGATAATGTTTGCTCAAGAGACTGAGTTCCCAAAGCACTGTTGCTAAGGCCCCGCTTAGGTTAGGATCTGTTGCATACGGCTGATATTTCTGCAATCGAGATTTCGCTAAGCAACAAATTTTATCCCAAAGTTAAATCTGTATAAGAGGGTAAATATTTGTGACTTACTGCAATTGAACCGGAAACAGAGCCGCCTCCAGCATCGTTCTCTAGAAGGTTTCTGCATTTCACGTTCTTCTGAAGCAGCGTTTTCAAAGTGACTAGCGCTATAAAAGAAAGACAATTCAAGACTAAGAGACAGATTTGAGATAAGGGACATGTGATGTGTAATTCAAAGTGTTTGTAAAGTTTATTACCAGACATAGATTCGGCACATCCAAAGCATAACGCGAATGTGGCTAAACGTTTTACAAATGCGGCTGCTTTTTGCATGTCTTGATGTCTGTCGTCGCACAACATTATCTTCAGAGACTCAGCCAAGACTACACCTGAATCTCTGTATCACATCACAAAGTGTTTTAGACTAAACTAGAGTTAACTTATGTCGCGGTTAAAAGAGGAAAAAGTTATAACAAACCTTCCAGGGCGGTACTCAAGAATGAGGTTGTAAAGTTGGACAAAGAAGTCTTGCAAGTCAACATTCAAGGCATTTAAGTTGCTCCTCATGACTT